TAATGTGTTAATTAATTCAAGTAAAGCGCTTCAAACCAGTCAGTGTTCTTGTGAATACCAAATAAAGAACATGTTAAATCCTTCATCGGTTTTGTCTCTGGCAGAGAGAGCCTCCTTGGTCTTGCACACATTGCTGGTTGTTCACTGTTTACTGGCTTACTGTGTTTCTTTCCTCATGATTTTATTTGATTAATTCCAGGACAAGATATATATTTATAGAGATGGCAGCGATCCGATACCAGGTGTTGGTATTGGGCCGATATCAGCAGAAAATGCTATCTAGCCTGAAAAAGCACACGCTTGCATTGTGTGATGTGATGTTGTTAGCTGTGTATTTCTTCCTCTAGTGTGGTAGAGTAGTAGAGTGTTTGAGTTGTTTGAGCATGATAGCAGACTTAGAGGCTCATCTTAAGTGAAGTGCTTCAATTATATTTGCTCTTTTTAAAGCTTAGTAGTTTTTAAAGAAAAAATATTGAAACAGAATTGGCTGATACTCAAGATTTTAATAAGGCTATTGGTGCTGGTATTCAAAATGTATATTTGATTCAAAATACAGACCTATATTTTGTTGCTGTCATAACAAAACCCTGTATCTCAAAAAGGAAGAAAAAAATTTAGCTTTAATGTTGTTTTTATATGACAGCGACAATTTGTTAAACACTGTAATCCGTTTTTGGTTCCAAGCATAGTTTTCACACCTTAGCTCGAACAGCCAAACGGAGAAATGTTCAGCTCTGCCAGTGCTTCTGCAGTGCTGCTGTTTTTACCGTATTTCCCCAACCGCTAGGTGATAAGGCGGTTTTGGCGGCTCCGAAAATAGAGCAGCAGCTCATCAGCCACCCAAACACAGTAACCGTTATTTAACGAGAGAGAGTCTCTGTGCTCAGTGAGAGAGAGCGAGACAGAGAGAGAGAGAAAAGTACCTACAGGGAGTGATGGAGAGAGGGTGGGGTGGGTGAAGAGTAGAGAGAGAGAGAGAGAGAGAGAGAGAGAGAGAGAAAGGCCGGGTGAAGGATGACATCATCCCTGTTGCTCTCTCCACCCCACTTTCTCTTGCACTGCCATTTCGTCCATTTTTTTCTCCCTTCATTGCTCTCTGTCTACTCTCTCTCTCTCTCTCTCTCGCCCCCTCTGCCTCGCTCATTGGCTACCCTATATTTAGCTGCAGCTTGGAGTTGAGGATATTAGTGGGTGTTTAATTCAGTGATGGCGAGCCTTGCTGCAGAGGCTTGCCCTTTAAGACATCCACGTTGGTGCCGTTTGAATGAACAATTTACATGTTAAATTACTGCAGTTTCTGAAAGACTGATTCTATTCAGCCTTCAAACTACTATCCACACACATCACTTAAACTCTGTTCACTCTGTTTTCACACGTCAAGTCACACTCTACATTACTTACATCACTTAAACGCTGTTCCCTCCATATTCATACACATTAGTTTGATGACATTCACTGTTTATCATCACTGTCATGAAACCTCATATCTCTGAAATGATAACTTTACAGGAGAAGCTAAAAAATTTCTTTTCATGTGTCTTCAGCTCAGACTGTATTCCAAATCATTTTGAACCACTTCTATTCGTTCACTCATCATGAAAATGTGATGTAAAAATGTAAATTGGTACACAGAGATCAGTGTAGCCTCTGCAGGCCCTCTGGTGACCACTGCTTGGTTTGCTTTTGGCTGTCTGTGTTGAACTGTTAGCGAGAAATGAGGGGTGAAATGTGAAGGGTGGGAATCTCCTGCAGTAAACACAGTTCACAAATCTCCAGACAGCCATGCTTGATTGAAAGGACAGTACAACAGCAATGTCTTAATATAAAAAAAATGTGTATATCTACCACAATTAAAACAGAATTTAAAATAAAACACCATAAAAATATTTTTAAAAAGATAGACTTGCTTGCTCAACTACAAAGATAAAAATCCAGTTTGCTTCCATTTTTGTAAATCAAACCCAGTTTCAGAGAAATACACTACATTAGCATCATTGTAGAAAAAAGTCCAACTGAATTTCAGTTTCAAAACAAAAAGGGTTGAGTGTTCTTTTGTGGCAACTCTTGCGAGTTTGGACAGGTTTTACAGAACATTGGCAAAAATCCCTTTGAACTAAATGGGAAGTTGTAGGTTTTGTAAAAAATAATTTAGAATGTGTTGTTCATTTTAAAAGAAACTCATTTTGAATGTGTGTGAAAGGTTACACTGTTAGGTAAAATCAGGTGTAGTTTTTTGTGTCATAAAGCTAACGTTACCAAGTTTGGTTTTGACTTTTCTAAACTGTATAGTTTTGATTCACAACACTGTCAAAAAGGAAAAAAAAAGTATTTTAACCATCAAATTACTGTAAAATTTAGTGCATGTATTTTGAAAAAAGTAAATATACTGTACATATACTGTATTTTAACACTGCTTTGTTAATTTAGAAATAGAATGTAAATTCACAAAAACAAATGTTTCACCTTTATTTCACGGACATTTGCGTTTAATGGTTGTTACTGTTATTATTATGGTAAAATACTGTATATCAGAACAACTAGTTAAACTAGTGAAACTGTGGAATCACAGTAAAAGGCATTTTTTCTAAGAAATTTCTAAGTAATTTTACAGATTTTCACCATCATTGAGAAAACAAACTTTTACTGTTAATTTACAGGTTTTGTCTGGCACCACTGCTACATGTTTTTTTTTTTTACAGTGTACAACAACATAGACTGGAAACTCACTAGAAACCTATGTAGTGACTCTAAAGAAAATATGCTACAGCTTGCCATTAGATTGAATGTCAATGTTACGTAAAGCTTGTCCAACTGGTAACACTGTGATATAAAAGACCATATTTGTGGGTGGAGCATAAACAGTTCAGTTGAAATCTATTCAATCCTTGTTCAAATGCATCAATTTACATGTGTCCACTCCGTTCTGATTTCACTCTGTAATTCATTTAGTCTTGGCTTTCGTTATTTTTGGGGCACTGTAAAATGCTCTCTCCTCTCTCTCTTCTTTCACTGTCCCTCTCCTCCTCTCCCCGCCCTTCTCTTCTCTCTCACTTTTCCCTAGACAATTCAGCTTTTCTGTCCTTGCCTGTAGTGGTGTCATGCTCTCTTGCTCTCTTGCTCCTGAGCTCTCTTGCTCTCTCTCTCCCTCTTACACACAGAGACACATGCATACTCACACTACCTTACCCTTGCATCACATTTATCTCAGTTCTGTTCTGCCTTTCAGTTCCTTCTTTCTTTCTCTCTTGCTATCTCTCTTTTTCTCTCTCCTTCCTTCTTTCCCTTTTGTCTCCTCAATCTCTCCCTCTACTCTCTCTGACACAGGCTGTGAAGGTTAAGTCTAATCCATTTTTAATGGAGAGTAATTGTATGAAGAGGTGGCGTGCTGGGACCACAAAAAAGGAGAGAGAGAGAGATAGAGACAGCAAGTGAACAGAGAGAGAGAGAGAGAGGAGAGAGAGAGAGAGAGAGAGTGTGAGAGAGAGAGAGAGTGTGTGTTTGGCACATAAACAAACGAAGCAGTTGAAATCAGTAGGCCACGTTATGTGTGTCTCTCTCTCCCCTGATGGGCGGTAGAAGCTGTGTGTGTGTGTGTGTGTGTGTGTGTGTGTGTGTGTATTGAGATGAATTATAGTCTGATCATAAGGCCAGGCACAGTGCACTATGGTCTCAGTAAGGCTAGGACCGAGCAGGGTTTAAAAAGAAAGCACATCATAATCCTGTTAAGACACAGCCGTGTCAGCACGTCTCACTTTACAAATGTTCACTCTTACTCATAAGAACTGAGCATATACTCTCTGATCAGTGGATGTGTGTGTACCTCTGTCTCTAATCAAGTGCTTTGGTAGTCTGCTAGATTGGTACAAGTAGTGTGTGAACATACTGGAAAATGCAACAGGATGTAGTTTAGTGATAAAGTAGGCCTACAGCTGTGGAAAAATAATGAAACTAAAATGAATGAAAAAGGTAGTGAGGCACTGACTGTAAGAAATTAGGAGTTATAGACTATAATATTGGATGTTTGGTTATGGACTATAAATTTTGAGGTTATGGACTGTAAACAGTAAGGGTCTTTATTGATGTGGTTTATGGACTGTAAATGTGGATGTTGGGGTTATGAACTGTAAGTATTTGTGTTATGACTGAAAAAACTGTAAAACAGTAAGTGTTGGGGTAATGCACCATAAGTGTAGAGGCTGTGGATTGTAAATGTTGCTGTTGGGGTTATATACTGTAAGACTTGGGGTTATGGACAGCGAGTGTTGATGTGGAGGTTGTTGACTAAAAGCGTTGGGGTTATGTATTGTAATAGTTTAGATTTTGTGGTGTAGGTGCTGGAGGTGAGGAATGTAGGTGTGAATGTTTGTGGTTATGGACTGTAAGTGTTGGGGTTATTAGAGGTACACATTATAAGATTTGGGGTAACGGACTGTATGTGTTGACGTTATAGACTGTATGTGTTGATGTTGCGGAACTAACTTTTGATGTTACTGTTATGTACCATAAGCATAGGGGTTATGGCTATAAGTACTGGGACTATGGACTGTAAGTGTTGGAGTTATCTACTGTATGATTTGTATGTATGATTTGTGGTTATGGACTGTAAGCATTGATTTTGGGCTTGTGTAGTGTAGGCACTGAAGTTATGTACTCTACATGTTTCAATTATGTATTGTAATAGTTTAGGTTTTGTGCTGGAATTGTGAACCGTAAGTTTGAATGATTGGGGTGTTTACTGAATGTGTGAAAGTTGAGGTCGTAACTGTGATGCTCATGAGAAAGAACAATGTCTGACCATCTAGAGGTTGTGTCTGAACAATTGCGTTGTTGATGAAAAGTGTTTGTTTGATTTGAAGTTTTTAACTAACCCCCTTCTGCTTTTCCCTCTTTAGAAGTAAGTAATTATACAAGCAGTCATTTAATCTCTCTCTCTCTCTCTCTCTCACTCTCTCTCTCTCTCTCTCTCTCTCTCTCTCTCTCTCTCTCTCTCTCTCTCTTAGATGCCCCGGTGGCAGAGCTGCATGACCTATTCTGTAAGAAGCTGCAGCAGTGCTGTGTGCTGTTTGACTTTCTGGATTGCGTGGCAGACCTGAAGGGGAAAGAGATCAAGCGGGCAGCACTGAATGAGCTGGTAGAGAGCGTAGCCACCAGCCGCGGCGTCCTCATTGAGCCCCTCTATCCTGAGGCCATCAAGATGGTGAGTTGGACCACGTGGTGAGAACGAGAACTAAGATAATGAGAGAGAGTGATTGGATTGGGGCAAAAGGAGATAAAAAGGTGCCCTTGAATTTGTCAAAGATGGATTATTCTGTGATGTTTTTGCACTGTTTGACTTGACTTTACAGGGCTATGTTAGCACTGGAGCCATTAAACTTAAAAAAGAACACAACAGCACAATATCTGTTTGATAACACCATGAAGTAGACAGTAGAAAAGTTGTATTGCCTTGTATGGCTGGTTTTTGTGGATTATTCCTTTAGGGCCTGGTACACTATATGCACAAAATGTATCCAGACGCCCCTTTTTATTAGTGAATTCAGGTACTTTAAGAAGCAAGCACACGTGGCTTGTACAATCTCCACAGTAAAGCACTGCCAATAGCAGTGAGCTGTGGAGCAGTGAAACTGTGTTCTCTCAGTGCTGCAATCTCAATATGTACTCACAATTTGTCTGATATGAACATTTAACTTACTAAGGCTGTAGCTAATCATGCAAACTATTCACAGCGTGGCCTACTCACTGAGCGCTTGTGAGGCACAGGGAATAAAAGGCACAGTGCAATAGTTGAGCTGTCAGGGGTGTTATTCTCCTCCAGCTAAAATATGGAATTTGGGAAACAATAACAGGGACTGTGAGCACATATTGCCACATCAAGGAACATTTCATGCTGTCTTCTCAGGGATATACACAACCTTTTGAATGTTTAGAAGCACTTTATAAAACCAACTATATAAAACTATTCTAGTTTCAGACAAATGTGTAAAACGAATTCAGTATGCTAGTCTTGTGTAACATAGGCTTCAAATAACTATTATGAAGCTAGAAAAGCTGTAAAACCATTAAGAAACGTTACATGTGTCCAGAATGATGAACAGAACTGTAAATGATTGTTAAACGACTGAGAAAGATGTATGGCATAGAGAATGAAGTTATAATAAATGCAACATCCAGAATGCCTCATATTTGAGACGTGGTGATCAAATTTTACATAACTTGACAAAAATTTTGTGTAAATAATAACAATAAAATAATTACAGTATGGAGTTTACAATGTATTATACAAATTCTTTGATGTATAAAAGCTACACAAGTTTTAGGGATCTGGAGACTCCTTTGGTGGGAATGTGTAACTGTACATAATGTGTGGAAGAACATTTTGTAAAGTGAGTTGTGCTTCAGATCTCTTCTCCGAGTGGATGAATCTGACTTTTGCAAGTGTATTCAATGAGAACTCAGTCAAAACTTGGTGAAGAATGTGTCTTCTGAGGATGTGAGTGAATATTCTACTATTTTTATCATATCTTTATCAGTGTAACGTTAATTTTGTATTTGAGACCTAAACATTGAGCTGGAGCTTCTTTTTGAGCCTGAGTGTGTGATGTCAATGCATAAGGACATATGATGCGGTCCGAAAAACTCCAGCGAAATCGGACCCAACTTTTAAATTTTTATTTCAATTTTACCACAAAATTTGTATATAGTGCAGCTCTAAATAAAACATCTAAACTATATATTTTGGTGTCTAATATATAAGATTTCAGTCTGCACTGTCACAAGTTATTATTGTATATAAAATTCAGTAATATAACAAGTGATTCCAAACTTTTAAATACTTATTTTAAATACATCTTTAACCCTGTTGAAAGAGTGTTATTGTGTTGGTAAATATTCTTTCAGCACATCTTCATGGCTTGTGCATTTGTCCAGCTGTGTTTGCTGCTATTATTAAAGCAGCACTGTGTAAATATTTGGCCATGTATGTATGTATTTTTCATTAAAACTGAAAGAAATAGCATTACTGAGTATGGAGAAAAAAGAGCACACTAAAATATGGTGTGCGTGAGCTGCTGCGAGTTGCCCTGTAAAGCCTGAAATAACCATTTAAAAGTCAGACGAACTGGGATGTCTTTAGCGAGAGTTTTTCGGACTACATCATACGTCTTCACATATTCACTTACATCCTTAGAAGGCACGTTCTTTACCAAGTTTTGACTGAGTTCTCTTAGAATACTTTCAACGCACTCGCAATAGTCAGATACGTGTGGAGGTCCAAAGCACAATCAGTTACAAAATGTTGCATGCAATTACATATTTCCCCCAGTGAGGTCACCAAATACCCAAATCTGACAGAGTGTTGCTTTAAACGAAGCCTCCCATCAAAATGTATTTGAGAGAATGCTGTGAATGTTATGTGAGGCTTTAAAATCCACACACAACCAGTTACCGTGTGATCCTCCCATGTTTTGTGTGATAGTCCCTCAAATACATATGCATGATGGAGAGAAGTGCATTCTGCTTTTCCATGCACATGGCCTATGAAATTTCATACAGAACACATGAGCAGAATGTATCGGTTTGCAAAAGGTTTAGCACAACAGGCCCTGAATGTAAGTATAGTAGAATTAATTGAGCTATTTTGGGAGTGACATTAGTTCTAAAATCCACAATTAAATGGTGGGGATGTAAACAAAGCGCAGTCAGGTCCATAAATATTTGGGCAGCAACACAATTCTTGTAATTTTGCCTCTGTACACCACCACAATGGATTTGAGATGAAGGAGTTTAACAAAAATACTGTGTTAACCATTTAATAATTATAATCTTTTTTACGTAGTCCCTGCATTTTTACACACTCAAAAGTAACTGGACAAACTAACACAAATATAAATACAAGTATTATTTTTACTGCTTGGATGCAAATCCTGTGCAGCCAATGACTGCCTGAAGTCTAGAACTCATGGACATCACCAAATACTGAATTTCTTCCTTTAAGATGCTTTGCTAGGCCTTTAGTGCAGCCAACTTCAGTTGCTGCTTGTTTGTGGGTCCTTCTGCCTTCAGTTTTGTCTTCAGTAAGTGAAAAGCATGCCAAATGTTGAGGTCAGGTGACTGACGGCCATTGAAGAACATTCCATTTCTTTGCCTTAAGAGGCTTTGCTTTTGCAGTATGTTCTGGGTCATTATCCAACTGTGCTATGAAGCGCCGTCCTATCAGTGTTGCAGCATCAGAAGTCAGCAATCTTGTTCCAGTGGTTTGCATCTTGAGATAAACCCTCTGTATTTTCTTTCATCTCTTGATTGTAGACTTTGGCAATGATACACCAACTTCCTCCAGAATGTCCGTGACGTAACTAGTTGCTGTGAAGGGGGTTTTTCTTCACCACGGAAAGAATTTTGCAATCATCCACTTTAGTTGTCTTCCGTGGTCTTTCAGGCCTTTTGGTGTTGCTGAGCTCGCCAGTGCATTCTTTCTTATTAAGAATGTATCAAATTGTTGATTTGGCCACTCAAGTTTCTGTTATCTCTCTGATAGGTTTGTTTTGATTTTTCTTGCCTCAACACTTCTTTGGACTGCGTATTAAACATTTGGAATCAACTTCAGACTCTTTATCTCCTTAATTTGTCATTAAATAATGAGAGAACAGGCCACACCTGGCCATGAAACTGCTTACCAGTCAACTGCCCAGTTATTTTTGAGCCTGTGAAAATGAGCTATGTAAAAAATGACTGTAATTCCTAAACAGTTAATATAATACTTATTAAACCCTTTGAATTAAAGCTGAGTAGACTGCTTCATTTCAAATGCATTGTAGTAGTATAAAGAGGTAAAATTAGAAAAAAAGGTCTCTGTCAAAATACTTATGTACCTGACTGTCATTCAGAGTGGTTTGTTGTGAAATGCACCATACTAGAGAAACTTACCAAGTCAGAATTATTCACAGTGGTGGTGCGCAGAAACCAGACATTCAAAGTCTTTCTTGCCTCTAAAATCTACCTCAAACTTTCATGAAATGGTTATGAATATGCCACCTGATGCCTGAGACATTGCTTTACAATAGGTTTGGGATAAAGTTTTGGCCTAAAATGTATTTTTTTAATCCATTCACGGTGTAAGGCAAGTAAGGCAAAGTAGTACCCAAAGAAAACTTATTTTTTCAGGTTTACCAATATTTCACCCTTACCAACATTACATGTAAAAACTCAGAAGAATAGTGTACATTCAGTGGTCATTTTGGATAGTAAATAAAACAGCTATACCTATGTGCATTGTAGACATCACAACCTCTGGTTCCTGTCACCACTCTAAAGAAATCAGAGTTGTTATATTTCTCTGTAATACAACTTTTCACATCAAGCCCATGTTAATGACTTGTGATTGAATTATGCCAAATTTTTGAATTGCAGAACTCCCAGTTTAATGTTGGGAAAATGCTGATTGTATGTTCAGATTCTCTCTCTCTCTCTCTCTCTCTCTCTCTCTCTCTCTCTCTCTCTCTCTCTTTCTAGATCTCAGTGAACATCTTTCGTACTCTCCCGCCCAGTGAAAACCCAGATTTTGACCCTGAGGAGGATGAACCTACACTGGAGGCCTCCTGGCCACATCTACAGGTGCCTTCATGCTCACACTCCTTTTCCTATTTGGTAATCACACAGAATCCCTTTTTTTCAACTGAAATGCTTCCCTCTCTCTAGTTGGTGTATGAGTTCTTTTTGCGCTTCCTGGAGAGCCCTGATTTCCAGCCCTCCATGGCCAAACGTTACGTGGACCAGAAATTTGTTCTACAGGTACTTGTTGTGTGTGTCTGTACTATATTTTTCTATACACTGTCTTAAACAGTGTCTCCCTTACATACACGAGGCTCTCTAGTTTTGTCCTTGCTTGCTTCTTGTTTTTTCATGTTTTTAGCAAGGTCAGGTACATCAGCTACAGGTGCTGTGGATGTATGATAGATGACTTGCGTGGATCTTTCATTACTGTCCAAATTTTCTGCACCTTGTGGTTCTTTGAAGTCCTGCATCGTTCCTTTCACCTGTGTCTTGTTTGTACCTTGTTGTGAAATTACCTATCCATGTATTTAGTCCCCGCATGTCTTGTTAGTCTTTGAAAAGTTTTGGGTATGTTAGCCACAGTTCTAAGCCATGTTTCACATATTCTGTTCCCTGTTCCTAGCTCCTGGGTTTCTCATGTGTTTTAGTGTTTTCTTGTTCTGATCAGTGCCTGTCTATTTTTGGAATATGATGAAAGAAATCTACTTATTTAGTTATTAACCATTTAATGTTGAGACTGAAAGCATTTATTTCTGTTTTTTAATCTGTCTAATCTGTCTGTTAATAACGTAATGTCTATGTTGTTGTCACATTTATTTGGCATGTAAAGAACATGATCTAACAAAGCCAAAAATGTATGGACTTTTTAAACAAGTAAACACATGGATGGGAATACACTTCCCACAAAAATGTACACGCTTGCTCAGACTATTGCAGTGTCTTTTTGTACATAGTGATAGAAAACAGGGTAACACATAGAATGCTCCAATTCCGCATGCTGATACATTTTACTATGGCTAAGGTGTTCATGCATAGCTTCTCTAGGGGCAAATTTTAATGAGCAATACAAAGTCTGGATGTGACTTTCTTAGTTACGATAGGGCTCATTTTAAGACTTCTTCAGAAGCTACTATGAATTGTTTAGGAACTGCTATAAAACTAATATTTACGAAAGAAACTTGTCTGTCTGTTATTAGACTCCTGTTTATATTGATGACTGAGATTTCTGGAAATTTTACACTAAAAGAACACAGTATGTACATTCAGCTGCCTCATGCTTCTCTTTTGTTGCAATTATGTTCCCAGCTGTTAGAGCTGTTTGATAGTGAAGACCCCAGAGAGAGGGAATACCTGAAGACCATCCTGCATCGCGTCTACGGCAAACTGCTCGGTCTTCGAGCGTACATCCGCAAACAGATCAACAACATCTTTCTCAGGTTAGATACCTACATACACACTTGCTTGTTTACATTTAGCCTATTTTTTGACCTGGCACAATGTGGACTGTTTAAGTGCATTCCTAAAGCGTTCTACTGTAGCTCTATAGGGGGTTCACACTTTGTTTTTCTGAAGGCTGAAAAAAGCGAAACGTATCATGCTGTTTTTTTTCCTTGGGGGTTGACACTGCTGTGGTTTTCGAACGGTGCTTCTCTCTGTTGCTAAGCAACAGCTAGTGATAGCAAATGGGCTAGCTAAAATTAGCCAAACCTGGTAATTATAGGTAACATAATTAAAATCTTACCTGAAATAGTAAGGACTGCACTGATAGACCCTAGCTGTGCTAGTAAGCTATCATTTTAAAGGACTGCAATCACTAACCCCCCCTCCATTACTACTGTATAGGCCTATCTTTTGGTTTGAAAAAACACCCATGCTATAGGATACTTGAGTTGTACTTTTGTCCACCCAAGGCTCTCGGAGCACTCCGCACACAAAAAAAGGTTGATCTCAGACCAGTACAACAGTCTCTACACTCTTTTTTTAATGGCTCAAATAACTTTAAAGCAGTGGTGCCTTTGAGCTTGTTTAATGAATGGCTTCTTTAATGACCAGTTTCATTGATATGACTAAATGACTATTCTATATAACCAATACACATGAAATTTTTGATTTTTTTTTATATATTTCAACCCTACAGGTTCATTTATGAAACTGAGCACTTCAATGGAGTGGCTGAGCTGCTGGAGATTTTGGGCAGGTATATGTTCATTACTTTTAAATGAGATGAAGCATAAACTATGTATATTGTTCATATTTGCTTGTGAATAGTCATGTTCAAGAGGCAAAGACACTGCATTAGTAGTGAGTTTTCTGCAGGAGTGTGTCTCGTATAGAGTTGTTTCTGCTTTGAAAACTTGAAAATTATTTTAGTTGGTGTGCTTTATGTTATTGGTAGGAGACTCTGGAATGTTCTTTTCCTATCACACTGTTCTAGAATGTTCCATTCACATTGTACTAGAACGTTTTTTTCCCATCAACACTGTTCTAGAATGTTCTGGCCATTCACATTGTTCTAAAATGTTCTATTTATACTGTTCTACTGTCCTACCAGTTCACATTGTTCTAGAGTGTTCACCCCATTCACACTGTTTTAAAATGTTCTCCCCGTTTATACTGTTCCTGAACATTCTCCTTATTTCACATGGTTTTAGACTGTTCCATTCACACTGTTGTAAAATGTCCTCCCCATTGTTCCTCCACATAGTTCTTGAATGTTCTCTCCATTCATACTATTCTAGAATGTCCTTCCCCATCAACAATGTAATAGAATATTCTCTCCATTCACACTGTTGCTGAATGTTCTCACCCACTCACACTGTTCGTGAATGCTCTCACCCACTCACTGTTCTAAAATGTTCCCCTCCATTCACTGTTTTAGAATGCCCCCTTTACCTTGTGTAGAATGTCCTTCCCATTGATACCCCACATTATTCTGGAATGTTCTCCCAGTTGACATTGTTCTAGAATGTTCTCCCTATCCACACTGTTCTCGATTATTCCATTAACAGTCTTAGAGCATTCTCCCAATTCACACTGCTCTAGAAAGTTCTCCCCTGTTCACAATATTCTTTAATGTTCTAGCCCCATTCACACTTTTCTAGAATATTCTCTCCCATTCATACTGTTCTGGAATATGTTGTACTCATTCATGCTGGCTCATTTGGTTTATCAGTTCTTTATCTAAAGATTGGCAGCATTAGAGTGTTGGGGTTTGTTGGTAATGGTTGGGTTAATGTGCTTTGGCCTTAAAAATACTTAAAATCAGTAGGGCTTATGTAACAGATTACAGTATTTATGTTTATTCCCTGGAGTGGATAGTCAGTAGCTGCTGTTAGGGCTAAAATACAGTATCTTACAAAATGTTAAAGAGGTGTATCGGCTTCCCACGCAAGTAAAAAAATATATTTTATTATGCATCTTTGGAGCATGTTGGTAACTGATATCCAGGGATGCTGGTAATTGCTTGAGAGCTACTTAGAGCAGCGTGTGGGCCTGTGAGTCAGACCCTTAGCAGGGGTTCAAACATTAGTGCTATCTGCGCTCGACCTCGCAGCTTTTTAGTGTTTGTGTTTCTGCTCTGTAGTGAGCTCTACTATGCAATTTCCAGCCATGTTTTGGTTGTGCTATTTGCTTCATTGCAAACAAAATGGGGTCTGTTTCTTATCACACTGGGATACATGAACAAAGCTAATGTCTGACGGAGAGAGAGATGGGGGGAAGAGAGATGGAGAGCAGGAGTAGGAGAGATAGGGGGATGAGTCAGAGAGGGGTAGGGATGGAGGTCTACTTTCAGGTTGATGCTTGTGGTATTTTTAGTGCCGCCCACACATTTTCTCTGATAACCAACCACGAGAGAGAGAGAAGATGGGTCGAACGACATAAAGTAGTGACAAAGATTGCCTTTCTGTCACTTCCTGTGCCCCTCTTGCATTGTGCCTGTAAGGAAAAGCAAGCATGGTGGTGAGAGTGGGAAGGAGTGAGGGAGGCAGTGGGACTAGAGAGAGGGGGGGGTAGGGAATATGAATGACAGGAAGAGCTAAAAGGGAAGTGAAAGACAAAAGGAGCCAAATGAAGATGAAGTGAACGAGGGAGAGCAGAACCTGAGGGAGAGAGAGATGAGAGGGGGATGAAATATCAAAAGACAGGCACTTTTAATTGCCAGACAGAGAAGTAAGGGGGGAATGCAATAGAAGGGAAGAAAAGAGGACACAGCAGAACAAATGAGAGTGTATTTCTGAGACTGTGTGTGTGTTTGTGTGAAAGAGAGATGAGACACAGATGAGTAGAGAGGTTGGGGGGATAGAAGGGTGGGAGGATGGGGGGGGGTGGGCGGAGGGTGTAGCGGCTTAGCTATTGAACAGAAGTGTGGCGAATGTATGTGTACGGAACATCATCAGGTCTGCTGATACTAATCCTATTTACCTTCCCTCCCTCTGCCTCCTACACACTTCCCTCTATCCGCTGTCTTCTCTCTCTAAAACACTGTCCTATTTCCTTCCCGTTCCTTCTCTTCTCTTCTCTTCTCTTCTCTTCTCTTCTTCTCTTCTCTTCTCTTCTCTTCTTGTTGCTTTTCTTTTCTGTCCTTCTTTTCTCTTTTCTTCTCTTCTTTCTTCTCATTTTTCCTCTTCTCTTCGCATTATTTCTCATCTTTCTATCCGTGTCCTTCTCTTTCTAAAACACTCTCTTATTTCCTTCCAATCCCCTCTTTCCTCATCTTTTTTCTTTTCTTTTCTCTTCCTTTCTCTTGTTATTTTTCTTCTTCTCTTCTCTTCTCTTCTCTTTTTCAGTATCATTAATGGCTTTGCTCTGCCTCTGAAGTCAGAGCATAAGCAGTTCCTGGTGAGGGTCCTGATCCCCCTGCACACTGCCAAGTCTCTCTCCATCTTTCATGCGCAGGTTAGAATCACTCACATATACCACATATATATATAGTACACACATACACACACACACACACACACACACACACACACACAGTGTTCATTAACTGTTATGTCATTAGAGACCACAGTGGGGCGCTGTAGACTAATGCATGAAAGTGTATTTCTCAATAAAAGAAGGTATGAGGCGTCTTGTGTGATGCAAGTAATAATATTGTCCAGTATGTATAAGTGTAGTTTCTTCTTATGAACTTGACATTTACATCTTATAATCTTCTTATAATATGAATTCAGTAGCCTTGTACCAATCTGTGTGTGTATGCAGAGAAGCGAATGCAGAGCTCTTGCCCTACATTCTCTCTTTCTCTCCCTCTCTCTCTCTCTCTATCCCCTGTCGATATCTTTCCATACATAATTCAGTCCCCACACTCTAGGCTGTTTACAGTTCTAATGCCCTGCAAGGACACCCAAGGCTCTCCAAGAGAATGCCTTTGCTTTGCCATACTTTTTAAAGGCCCCTCAAGCACATGTCTAAAGTCTGGATGACTGTCAGCCATAGTACACACAGATGCATCATGTCTGAAACATTACAGAGCGTGGCAATATGCACAAGCCCAAAGCATCCCACTGCTCAGTCTCCTGGTAGCCCACAGTGTAAATTAACCAGGTAACCAAGGACTGTAGTGCATGAGTTACCCTGCTCCGTAGTCGAACATAGTTTATTAGTTATGCATGGGATCTACAAGGCTAATGTAGCGAACAAACAATAGAAGCTTATACCTTACAAATGAACTTTTGGCAAACTACATGTCTCACCACACAATTGCCTCAAACTGCTGTGATTTGTTAAAGGGAATTCCAAATATTGTTTAAAATATCTGCATAATTTAATGGCTGAGATGTAAACAAAGTCATTCAGAGTGATTTAATGTCAAATGTTTCATTGTAGAGAAACTTACAAACTCAGATTCTTTACAGTAGTGGTGATAGGAACCAGGGGTTGCAACGTCTACAACACAAAGTTTTATTTTATTTACTATGAACCTGAAGAAAATTGGGGGGACTATTTTGCCTTATAATTCCCTGCATGAAGCTTTCTTCCATGAATGGATTTGAAAATATTTGTTTTGGACGTGTTTTAGACCAAAACACTGTCTCAAAACTGACATAAAATAATGACTCTGGCATCAGGCAGTGTATCTGTAAACTTTTCATGAAATTACTTTTTGTTACATAGCTTTTAGAACCATTAAACCCTTCAGATGTCACCACCACTGTTAACAACTCTGGCTTGGTTTCCTATCTTTGAAAAAGCATGGAAAAATCAGTAAAATTCCTCTTTAACAGCTCATAGCAATTTGAGGCAAGCATGTGATGTTAGCATGTAGTTTGCACAATATTAATGTGTGTGGTATAAGCTTCCATTACCGTTAAGCAAACTCCAGACACCAAACATGTCTTGGCTGATCAGTTACATTCAGGGTAAGGGGAATATTGAGTACATTTGATTTTCAATCAAAAAATATTCCTACAAGGACTGGATTGGGATCCTCTGTTCACTAGCCAGCAGCTGAACTGTGGCTTACCTGCGCCTACTGTAGTGGTACATAGTAACAGTTCTGTTTGCTTAGGAACTAATGAATATAAGTGCTGCTAAGTCAGGTGGTTTTATACAGGACTTTTAGTGATTAGTTTGCACAGAGGCTGAGAAGGGCAGGTGACATTATGGGCTTTACACTGTCAGTGAGCTGGCTTTTCATTTTCTGTTGTGTGTTTGGTGCTAAGCCAAACAAAAGCCTTGTGGCACATACTTTGTTGATATCTACTCTGAGACTTACCTCAAGCCCACTTTTGAACAGGTGGGATCTTTATTGGCTCCATTTGGTCCATGTGAGTGTGCAGGGCACACATACTGCGTACACAGCGACACATGCATACACAAACCCTCTAAAGTAGACATAGGTGTCAACCTTTAGAGGCAATAAATCTTACACATATATACAGTCTCCAAACTGTCTAAGTGCACTTGTATAGCTCATTTCCCATACAGAAATCTGATATATGGCAATATACGGATTAACTTATCAAATGGACTGTACTGATATATGTTTAACACATAATTAGCAAAATATGATAGAAACCACTATTCATATATGGATGACATATATTACTCATACATACTATCTTCAATTTATGTAATATAAAGTATATAATATAAGGTTTTTATACATCTTTGTTTCTTCCACATACTTCCCAATGAAGTGACAGTAGTATAATAGCTACATAACTAAACTCTAATCACACGCACATTGTAGCAGTGTAATAAAATAATTTCGTTCCTTGCCACATTTAAATAATTTAGTATTTAAAATGCACAAGATAACATTGTAACAATTTATTGGGATGTATTCAACCATGTATCAGACATATATGTATGTTCCATATGTTATGCATGTATGCATTGATCCACCGATCAAACAAAGCTGTCAATAATTTAATACTTACATAGATAGACAACATATATGTTCTTTTTTATTGGAGGGTTGTCCCATTTTGTAGGGGAAGATTTCAACCACTACCCCTTGTAACTCAGTTCCAAGGGGCAAGGTGACACTCAAAAACAAGGGGTAGGGGTAAAAATAAGAAATGGGATTGGGCCTTAGAATGCCTTTCTCAAAATTTTGAAAATGGTCAGATATTTTTCATGCCAACCAAACATAATAGAATTTACAGTATGCATTTTTTGCACCCCTCATATTTATATAGAAAGGTTTCACGTTCATGTAGAAAAGCGTTGGGAGAGGAGTGAGACTGTTATTATAGAGACTAGTGAAAGCAGAAAGTCCGGAAATTAGACTGTTCACTCTGTCACTCTGAGGAGAACCTCAGCAAGCCTGCGTGACATCAGTTCTTCCAAGACAAACATGCACACAGCGGCGATTCTCACACCTCACCACGGCAACCACCCGTGATAGAAAGACAAATGTAATACTCACACTTAGGAATGGGGAGCTCTTTTGGAAAAGCATCATGCTTCTGCATCCTCTGACCTGTACTCTGTGTAGATCCCGGACACATCACTCCTCTCTGAAGAACTGGATGGTGAATGGAGGAGAGAGAAAGAGAGAAGGATAGAGAGGAAGAGAGATGATATGAAATTATAACAGAAGTATTGTTTAAAGTCATTGGGTCAGATTCCTTGTCAGAGTGTGAGAATGTAAAGATGTTTAGTCAATTACAGACAGAAAAGCGTAAAATCATCAGATACAGATACATCCCTGAACTATGTGACTCCGTTTAGCAGCAACACTAAAAGCAGCTTTAAAATGGCTGCAGTCATTTTAAACTGTTCTTCACACTGTTTGAAAATGGCAGCTACAGATAAACAGGCCTTTAGAAGCCAAGGTTCGAATTGTGGCAGAGGTGATTATGAGGTGCCCAATACATTGATGAATACTATTTTGTGAAGGTTACCCCTGTAGATTTTACTACACAGAAGACAAATTACTTCGTATCTGTATTAATAGAACTGATTTTTTACATAACAAGACACAAGAAGAGACTGGGGGAAGCTCACCTTTCACAGTTAATTTACTAAAAGATATTGTTGCTCTCAGAACACAGCTTTATGTCTCCATTTTTCTTTGTTTTCATTTTTTTTTCCAGAAATAATACAAAATTACTTGGAATAAAATCTTTGTACACTGACTTCCACTAAAAGTTAAGGATGTTTTTTCTTCTCCTGTAAAGTTATCATTTTGTAAACACAAGTTTTTTGTCCAACTGTGACTATTAATATATTACTCAGGTAGTAAAAACATTGATTTATTTGTCAGCAGGCACACGTTACCCACATGTTCTCAAACAGCCTAAAAAGTGAACTTTTTACTAACAAAAATGAATGTGTTGCATTATGTCATGGCTGCTAGCAGTGTTTCTTTTCTCTGTGTTTTTGGCTGATACTGGCTTAAAAAGCATCTAAAGTTTCTTGGCAGTTTGAGATGCACTCAAGCTTTTTGCTCATTCAGTTTTAAACCAGAGCGAAATGTCTTGGTGCACTAGATTGTAATGTTACGCTATGAATTTGGGCGGAGTGAATTCACAGTTTATCCAGAGGGAGTAATCTAATACTGAATGTGATGAATATGTAGAAAAGAAGACTGTCACCTCGAGTGGAGGAATTCCCTCTGTCAGAAAATTCACATTTTATTGAAAGGAAATAACACAGAATCCCCCAAGTTAAGTTTTGTCAGTTTTTATTTTTTGACATCATTTGAACTCAGAAGCTGTCCTTTACATAGTGTGAAAATTTCATGAAGAATGGACAAATAGAAATGCTTCAGAATCACTTGGAATTGAACTGCTGTTTATTAACATACATTAAAAGATAAGAACGTTTTGCCCTTTTCCTGTAAAATTACTGTTGGAGATACATGTTTTTCTTTGGTCAGCGACAACGTACTGTAGTTAGTTAAAGGTTGTTGGTACAAATTTGCTACAAGGTAGAGTTTGAGTCATCTTGATTAGGCCTGAGGAAGCTTTTAATGTAATTAACAAAATCAAAGCACTGATAGAAGCTCATTGAATCAGAGGCACCACTCCAGTTAATGTATGGCTTCACACACACACATACACACACACACAAACACACCCACACCCACACACATACACACACGCACACACACACAAATCTTATTTTCTGTCTGTTGTTTCCTCTAGCTGGCCTACTGTGTTGTGCAGTTTATGGAGAAGGATGCCACTGTTACAGAATATGTAAGTTACTACAAAATCATACACAAAACACTACATTAAAAACTCAATATGAGCAATATTCAAGCTTGTGGGAGGTTGTGACATATTAGTATCATGAGATGTGTAATTTTCTGTTTTTTTTTTTCAGATCATCAGAGGGCTGCTGAAATACTGGCCCAAAACATGCACCCAGAAAGAGGTGAGAAACACAGATGGGTGTGTGGATGATGAATGGATGGATGTGACAAAAAATGGTTTCTGTGTTTTTCCGTATGAAACAGCAATTCACATGTGATTCAAACATTTTCATGCTTGGTTTGTAATGTAATGGATGGAGGCATGAAAATGGTCAAACATAATAACAGCCCTGAGCCTTGTCTTTAACCTCCATCTTCCACTTTAATCTGTATTTTGATCTGTATTTTTTCTTGCTTTTTTATTTAAGGAGTTCAGCTACCTTCTATTTTTCTTGTTTATGCTTTATTTAGTGTGTGGGATTTGCGACATTACAAATTTAACATCAACCAGAAACTAAAACTGACCATTTATACCTTGTTAGTTTATGTCACTGGAATCTAATATGATTCATCATATCAAATCATTTAGGAGACAAAGTAGTTGTTTTCCTATAATATTTGATTGAAATGTCTTATTCTGAGCTGTTATGCCCCTGTGCACCGGCAGGTGGGAAAAAATATTAACGTTATATAATATCATACATTTATGAAATATAAAATATAATATTATTTTGTTGGTATTATTTTTTTTATTAACAAGTAATATAATCATTACTGTCCACAAAAACAACAAAAAATGTATCTCCAGTGTTTGTTTCTACATCATTTGATCACAGCAGCTGTCCTTCATATTTTGTGAAGTATGCATATTTTTCATTGCACAGTGACAAAATGTTTCACAACCCACTCAAACCACTCCACCTGTGTATTTAATGCTGGACTGTGGTTTCAGGTGATGTTCCTGGGGGAGATCGAGGAGATTCTGGATGTCATTGAGCCGTCTCAGTTCATCCGTGTGCAGGAGCCTCTCTTTAAGCAGATCGCTGCCTGCATCTCCAGCCCTCACTTCCAGGTCTGCTCCTTTCATCCTCTTCCTCTTCCTTCTCATCTTTACACTGCCACATACCATCTCCTGCTCCTTATCCCAATAACTCGCAAGGGCCCTTATGCAAGCCCACTCTTCAGGTCCTCACTCCAACTACATAAATTACATACACGTTTCATTAGTTACTGATTAATTAGCCAGAAGATTAAGAACTGGATGATAAGCCAGCAGTTTAAGGGATTAACCCTTAGAAGAGTAGTGTTAGCACTGTCATTTGTTATACATTACACAAAAAATGCTGCAAATGTTCTTTGAGCAATGCCATAGAAAAAACACTTTTGCTTTCTCTAAAGAACAAAATTTGAAAATATATGAGTTTAAAGAGTCTTCGCATAATGTAAAGGTTCTATAATCATTTGTGGTTGCTTCCTAGAATATTTACATTATGTGGAGGTTCTGTAAACCTTAAAACAGTTCTTCATATTCACACATCCAGTGGTGGACCTAGAAAATTTTACCAGTGAGTTTTGACAGGTAGTATGTTTATGCGGCACCTGGGGCTGTTTAGTACAGATTTATACAGTGAACTATCCATACAACCCTGTGACCCCTGAACAAACTTTAAAAACATGCAAAACAACAGTCACCAATATGCATAATTCATCTATTCTGATCAACTGTGTTTGGAAAACAGCAGCTTTGTACTTCAGTCCTATTCATCACTATGTCTAATAAGGCAGAAAACATAACATAGGCTACATTATGTAGGTTATATCAGAACCAAAATGATTATATACACTAGTGAGGGAGTAGTTACATTTTGCAAATGCATCATGTCCCTATAACATCAGGCTACAACCTCACAGCAGTGCAGTCGTCATTCCAGCACATCTGCTAACAATAGCCAGACTATTCACATCAACAAGAATGCTATATTTACACACCCTAACACTTCAACACATTTCACTGTAAAGCATGCATCCAATCACCACAGGTAGCACTTTGGCCCAGTGGAAATGTCATAACAGTTCAAATCGGACAGCTGAGATGTCGACACAGCAAACCGAATGAGTCAAGCATCCTAGGCTAAAGCATATTGCCACAGCAGGCATGAAAAAATGTTCGTGGCCATTATATCTTACCTTTGTGGGAGTAGACATTTGCCTTGATATTTAAATATAGCCATTTAGCGTTTTTTTGCCTTGATATTTAGACATTAGCTTTTTAGTTAAAAGAGCACCAAAATCCCAGACCGAAGACGCAGCAATTTTTTTTAACACAAGCTGGCATTTTGTTTATTTGTTTCTAGCTTTGTAAACAGGTAAAAAAACAAAACTCCACTGTCGCAGTGTAATTTTCACTCTATGTCTATGAACATATTTGGACTGCAGCTGGAGCTTTAAATTCAAAATACATGGCGTTGTTCAAGATTTGAAAGCTTGATAGCACTGGTTACTAAACAGTGATTGGAGGGCTGAAACAATAGTTCTTGAGATTAATTTAACTTAATTTAACTGATTAAATTGAATTTTGGCCGTTATCTGATCATTCAAGTGGTCATGTAAACAGCATACTCCAAGCTCTTAGGTTGGATTAAGGCTGTTATTGGATTTCTAGAAAACTGATAAAAAGAGCTGGGCTTTAGCTCAGTAATCAGGTTTTTCAGTGCATGAATACCCTTACTCTGATTTCTTTCGTATTTCTCAGTCTGCCCATGTGCGACAATAAAGTGCTGTCATGGAAACAGCCAGCAAAATTTAACAAAGCACTTGCAAGATGGTACCGAAACACTTTTGGAGTGATGCTGAAACCACCTACATGCTTCATGAATATTCAATTTGAATATTCTTCATCTTCTAAACGATGTATACTGATATTAAAAAAACTAACTAATATAAAAAACACAGCAGCGGCATGACAAGTTTTACATTACATTTACATCACATCTTATTCTGTAAGTTTATTGGCTGGTTGCAAAGCTCATGTAGACATGGAGTTTTCCCATTATCTGATTACCCCAGTAAACATGTTGCACAAAATATTGACACAATCTGATTTTCTGCAGTTATCAGATTATTAAGTGCATTTAAATGCACTGACTGTCAAACAAGTGCTACTCCGGTGAAGCTATTGTGAAACTTTACACAGAACACAGAAAGGCTGCCGTTTCCTCCGTACTCTCTATTCAAACAGCACTGTGGTGTTATTTACAGCTGGAGCGTTCAGAGCTGGCTCATGCGGACACACACACACAGGCGTATCTCGATTTCTTGTGTCTGATTGGCTGTTTTTTTTTTTCTCATTTACAAACTTGCTTTTCTAAATAATCACCAATTGAAAGGCTCTTCAAGGAACTAGAATTCACACCTTCAACAGAAGGTAAGTAAAAAAATGTAGGAAGAGCTGTTTCAGAGTGTCTAGAAGGGGACTCGAGGGTTAACAGAGCTGGGATCCGATGTAAATATTCAGTCCCGCCTGTTTCACAGTGATCATCAGAAATGTGCACTTCACCGTATGGCAGAAAGAGTTTAGCTTGTGAAGTGTTGTCAGTCTGTTGGTGCTGAACTCTGTGTGTCTCTCTGTCTGTGTCAGGTTGCAGAGCGGGCTCTGTATTTCTGGAATAATGAGTACATTCTGAGCCTGATCGAAGAGAACTGCCAGGTCATCCTGCCTCTGGTCTTCGGCACACTCTACAGAGTCTCCAAAGAACACTGGAACCAGTTAGTAACAGCCACACTAACGTTCCTCTTAAAAAGAACATTTAGCAACACTTCAGCCCTGACAGTTATGAAACTCAGTTATCTTCTTTTCCAAGTCTCCCTACAAAACTGTAATTATTTATCCATTGCAGTTGCCAGATAATCAAATTTACACAATGTTCTCCCTTTACCCCACGTGTAGTCCATCAGCTGAGACATGCTTGGGGTTTGAAGTTTGCTTCTTTACTTTTGCACTGGACCTATGAGGCTAATGTAGTTAATCAAGTAATCTGCATTATGCCCTTTCGAACAGCAAACTATGTGCTGTGTAGAGTGTGTGTGCTGTTACTATGTGTGTGTTGTTAAGTAATCTGAAATAGACTTGCTCATGTGTTTTCTGACAGTGTATGACATACTGGTATCTATAAAAAACTGCATCAGAACATCAGGAAATCTCATAATTAAAAACAGTAGAAGAAGCCGGCTTGAAGCCTGAATTTTGTCCATTGGTATAGATGACAGTAGGTCGTACCATGTCAGAAAGCAAATATTCGAAATGTGGTTTGAAGCAAGTTTGCATTATGCTTATGGTGGCTTTGTTAGCCTCTTAGCTCCAGTACAAAACTAAATGAAGCAGACTTTGCATGCCAAACATGTCTTGGCTGATTGATTTGGGGTAAGGGGGAAATTGGGTAAATGTGTGTGTTATTTCTTTAATAGTAATTATTAATTAGCTAAACAATAGCAATTGCTGTAAGATCAAAAGTGTCATATCGTAGTGTTTTACATCTATTGTGTTTTGTTTTTTGTTTCTTCATCAGAACGATTGTGTCTCTCATCTACAACGTCTTGAAGACCTTTATGGAGATGAACAGTAAACTTTTTGATGACCTCACTGCCTCCTACAAGGTGGAGAAACAGAAGTGAGTTTGGTTCATCCGTCCAGTGTCCACTGTTAATTTTCAGTCACCACATACAGTAAATTTGATGAGTTTCCTTGCACTTTGTAAAAGGACAGAAAACCTATTGACTCTAAACACTAAATCTAATGGAAGCCAGGGGGCTTCAGCATCTTGATTGTTTTGACTCAACAGGTTTTCTGTTCTTTTTGCAGGCACAGTAAATTATTATCTACGGTAATCGACTGTTACAGATGCTGCAGATAGAGATTAACTTGAAAAACACAGCCTTAAATTGTCCTTAAATAATATAAAAAGTGTGTGTGCCAGATGTGTTGGGTTGTCTATATGTTCTAACTTTTTTACTTTTTCTGGTTCTCTCTCTCTCTCTCTCTCTCTCTCTCTCTGTAGGGAGCTGAAGAGAGAGAGGGAGCGTGCTGAGTTATGGCGGAGTCTGGAGGAGCAGCAGGAGCGGAGGCTGCAGAGTTTGGGAGAAGCCAGCCGCAACCAGAAGAACCTGCAGGAGAGAGAGAAGAACAGCAAGAATGAGCCAGAGAACAGCGCCGCCAACGCCACCTAGAACACACACACACACACACACACACACACACACACACACACACACATATCAATATGGAAAAAACATAATAACTCACTCTGTTTTAAAATATTTTTTATTCTAGAAACAACCACTACTTCTAACAACACACACACACAAACCACACAAATACACACTCCTACACTGTAAACAAATTTGTGTAAAATTACAGTACTGGCAGCAATTTCTCTAGTGATTTACTGTTTATTTACAGTACAACTACAACAGTTTTCTAAATACAGCTGATCACTGTATTTGTACAGTTTTTTCCTGCACTCCTGTATTTCTAATGGACTGTTCATATGTCCTCTAATGTGCACCCACAGCTGTCAGAGGACCCTGAGTTTTACTACAAAATGTATTGGTATAGGCAAAGATGGCAGTAACCAAATATCCATTACTCATAAAATTACAAGATGAACTAGTTACTGAAACACAAAACACCAAGATGGTTGGAAAAACATGCACTTCAACATATTTTCAGGAAGGAATAACATGTTAAAACAAATGAGCAAACGAAAACTCGTGAAATGATCTGCAGATGAAAAAATCAAAGTAAATTAACAAAAATGAACAAAATCACAAGTAATGCTGGGAAGCTCCATCCCCCATCAACAGTATTCAGAGACAGGCTGCTCAAAGTCCTGCCCAGTTTCCAGCTTATTGTAAAATCCAATATTTTAATTTCTGTGACATCTATACAAAATCATGCATACACACCTGTTTCACTCAGAATTCCTCATATTTCAGAGCAGTCTGCTGTGTTTAAAGAATACAGTAGATTACTGCAGTGTTTCTGCTGTAAATTTACATCAGTTCTTTACAGTGTAGAAACAGATACACGTGCGTACAATACAGACACTGTTAACACAACAGATCAAATACAGGTTGTCCATATGTAGATACAACACACACACACACACACACACACACACACACACACACACACACATAAATAAATAAATGTCATACAGGAGTGAGACGCAGATTAATAAGATGAGTATCTCTCACTCTTCATGTTCTTTACTCTTTCCATACACATCTTACTCATTCTATTTCACTTTCTTTTCTTTCCTTTCCTTCTGGTTCTCTCTCTTCCTCTCATCTATACAAAATCATGCATACACACATGCACACACACACCTACATACACCAAAGACACAAGCAGCACAAACAAGGGCACACAAATCATACTTGCATGAGGAGCTGACTGTCAGACAGACAGACACACACACACACACACACACACACACACACACACACACATGCAAACACACACAAGTCGTTGGTTAAGTGGAACTGGTTTGGGCTACTCTCCTGCTGACCACTGGACTTTACTCACTCTCTCCCAAAAAAGATGAAGAGGAATGCTGAACATAATGATGATTCTGAAGAGTTATGAAGATGATATCTCTGTAAAAGTAATGATTATAATGTTCCTACTTCTACAGCTTATTCTATAAGTACTACTTCTATTGCTAACTGATGTTTTTATATCTATACATATCTATATATATATCTATATATATATATATAAATATAATATCTATGTCTGATTCTAGTGTTGGTGGGGGTATTCTAGTGTAGCACCTCTAAAACATGACAAAAGTATGCTGCTAGACTAAACTTGTTCTGATGTGACGACAATACATTACTCTAGTCCGTTCTTCTTCTGAGGTTTTAAACACGCCATCCGAAATGTGTTACTTTAGCAATATTCTCATCAATTTCGAATAATGTGTGTCAGCGGGTTTTTTTTTTTGAGCAAATTTCACTCTACCACAGTGTCTACTTCAGTGCACACAAAGATGTTCATTTGTATTTTTACATTTTGTTGATTTGTTTTATTTTACTTTTATTTTTGTATACTTGTTTTGCTGTTGATATTTATTAATATTTATTTTGATGAGTGACTTTATTGGAGGCTTGATGAACAAGACTGCAAGTGAATGAAGGCCTAAGCATACTTAAGAGTCTGGTAAAGACAGTCGGTATGGCATGTATGTATGTATGTATGTATGTATGTATGTGTGTGTGGGTGCGTGTACTGCTGTAAATGGTGACAGAGACGAGGGGTCAACCCTCCCCCCGGGCCGAAAAATGAACAGGGTTTGAATCAGTACATACCATTCAAATTGATTGTAATTTTAACTGTATAACACTCAATGTTGGTTGTTGGTTCTACACTGACATTGCCTCTGTTTGACAACAAACAAAAAACAAGAACAGAGAAATCACCATCACTCATTCTGTTGTTAATTTGAAAAGGGCGCTAGCTCATCTTTTCCTAGGTTCTGGAAAAGTTCCCGTAAAGAGAAAGCTGAGATGTGAAACAGTAAGTTAAAGGTAGAGTAGAGTAGAGAAGGCAATAAAAGGACTGGAACTGTAAGCAAACGTAGCATCACTTCAACTAGACTTGCACTGTCCTCTTGATTGATGTTTTGTGTTTAAACATAGCAATGTATTTTTGGGGGACCAACGGCTTTGGGATATGAATGTATAAAAAAATGGGATATAAACATGAAAATGTGTGTTGAATAAGTTCACATTGAGAAATACGTGTTTATATGTCGTTATTCACACACAGCAGCAGACCACACACGCATTCAGAAAGATAGAGGTTAAAGGTGAAAATCAGAGGTGGGTAGTTATAGCATTATTCAGTTATGTGTGTTTACAGTCATAGGCAAAAGTTTGATTACCCCTGCTCAAATGACATGTTGATTTTTTTTAAGTGAAAATAAGTTAACACCCTCTACATTTAATATAAAATATAAAATGTGGCATAACTTATACACAGAACATATTTTTGTTTTTTTTTTCCCAATCTGTTAAATTCAGCAAATAAATAATAATTGTGCATTAAAATGCATGATCTTATTTTCACTTAGAAAATCAACACAGCGCAATTTGACTTGAGGCACCCAAACGTTTGCATATAACTACATAAAATTTTAATGGACTTGTTCTTTCTTGGGTTTTTTCAAATGACAACACGTTTTCTTACAAATATATCTGTGAGGAATGTAATCCACATTTTGTTACATGATGATATGATCTGTACTGCCTTGTGATTGGTCACACCTCTCATTTTGGAGTGTTAGTATGTTTAGACCAAAAATCCTTCAAAAAGAAGAACAGAAAAAGAGAAGAGACGAAGTTGTGCTGATGTAGTGCTACAGTTCCACAAATTCCTCAGTATTTGAGTATTAGACTTTTGACCTGCCACTTTCATGCTTGTACTCAGTTTGTTTTTGGTCATTATTTTATTATTCACAGAAGTGCAATGTTTTTTAATTGAGAACTGGTTTAGGCTACACACACCTCTGGTGAAAACTGACCACCTTATCTGAGACTTTAATGTCAACTTGTCCAATCACTTTCACTTACCCACCTTGGTCAGGCAGGTTTGTCAGAAACAGACAGGTTAAAGGGGCATTCTGGCCTAAAAGTAGCATTAAATATGTTATTTGTCGTTTAATGCAGTATTCTGCTGCGCAGCATTGCATCCCTCAGCCTCATCAGTTTGACAGAATTCACGATTTTATATCATTTCCTTGTTTTCGTTCATCAACGCTGTCTCACTACAATACCCAGCATGCATTACGCAAATACGTCTTACATCCACGGTATGTATCCCCTCCAGAGTCATGAAGAAATATTCACTGTTACTGTAGCCACTGATTTATAGGCTTATAAATACAACCAAGCAACACTGATCGTTTCAAACAGCCCACCCTCACAAATCCACCCAAGCAGTTGTAGTTTTTTCAAAAGTAACTTCCATTTTCAAGACACGTCATCAGAGGAAGTTTTGTCTTTAAACCAGATATTCTTGCTCTAGAGACGCAGCACAGCTGTGGGATGCAAGTAGGCAGGTTTACAACAGATGTAGCAATGGTTTTATTTCATTCTGGCCGGAGTGTCTCTTTAAGGTCCAACACTGCCATATTGAATGTCATTTTAATCTGTCTGGGTTCCATGAGCTAACACGTGCATACCACTAAAAGCTCACGTTACCCAAACGCACATTATTCCAAAAACATCACCAACTTTTGGGCGTTTAACAGTGCAACAATATTTACAGTGTGACGTCATTTTCTGGCACCTATTCCTGGTTAATGGCGATTGTGTTTTAATTGCGCTGGTGTCAGAGTAGCCTCAAAAGAACAACAGTAAAACCCAAACCCGAATGGAAATGCTTTATAAAGACCCAGCAGGGTTCAAATTGACTTCATTCTCTCGGTTTAGTCATTGTGAACTTCAGTGGACAACGCAGTTTCTTCACACAGGATCCAAACACGACAGGTAAGACCTCACACCACCCAATGATACTCACAGAGCTGCAGCTATGACATTCACTGAAACATATAAAGAGAATTGTGAAGGATTTATAAAGCTTACACTTTTTTAATCGAAGTTAACAGTACAAACTTTGATTCAATCCCTGTCAGACTGGATTGAAACTGAACTTCCTTTAATGACCATTAGAGGGGGCACTTTGAGAATGAAAACAACATTTAAAAGAATAGTTTAACCAGAAAACTTGTAGAGAGGAGAATTACCACTCTGCAATGTCTTTCGGGTTTCTCAAACGCTAGAGGGCGCTCCCGAGCGATTGATATGGAGCATTTGAGCAAAATCATAGTTTATAAATGCTTAAACATTTTTAATGTAAAATAATGCAGTCATATCCTGAACACAGAACAGCATAAAACATTTTAACACTGTTGTTATATTTTTAAGAGCTTGTAAACTCGAGTTATAGGAGTTTAAAAAGGCGCCTCATGTATGTCCATGACGTCAGTGAGCTCAAACAGCCAATGAGCTGCTCCGCTCGCCAATCAATCATCACGCTCTAGCACTAATGCCCGCCTTCTGCTGCCCAAAACCCATTTACTGTAGAAAAAAGGAAATATACAGGTAAGATTTCTTTGTTTTTTAGTAAAATACATCCTTATATTTTCTAAAATTAAAGAAACGTTCTGGGCGAGTGATGATAAACTATTTTAACTTTTCGTTTTTAGCCGTTAAGCGCCGTTTACTCCCATTCATTGAAGACTCACTCGTGGGCGCCCTCTGCTGTTTAGCAGTCCTGTTTTTGATATAATGGGGGGAATAGGAAGTGGCCAGGCTCTTCATAAACCGGCTCTGTTTTAACCAGAAAACTTGCAGAGAGGAGAATTACCACTCTGCAATGTCTTCTGGGTTTCTCAAACGCTAGAGGGCGCTCCGAAGGGAGTCCAAAATGAACTGGTTAAGATGGAGCATTTGCGCAAAATCATAGTTTATAAGTGCTTAAACATTTTTAATGTAAAGGGATACATTAATTTCCTGACCACTGAATAGCATAAAACATTTTAACACTGCTGCTATATTTTTAAGAGCTTTTATACTCAAGTTATAGGAGTTTATACAGCATCTCATGTACGTCCATGATGTCTGTGAGCGCCAATGAGCTGCTTTGCTCGCCGACCAGTCAGCACTCACTAACAGTAATGCCAGCGTTCCGCTGCCCAAAACCCGTTTGCTGTAGAAAAAAGGAAACATACAGTTGAGTTTTCTTTGCTTTTTTAGTGAAATACATCCATTTACTTTCTAAAATTAAAGCTTCTGGGAAAGCAATTAGAAACTATTTGAACTTTTCCTTTTTAGCCGTTGAGCTCCATTTACTCCTATTCATTGAGGACTTGCTCACAGGCGCCCTCTGCTGTTTAGCATACCTGTTTTTGATATAACAAGGGGAATAGGAAGTGGCCAGGCTCCTCATAAACCAGCTCTGGTTTAACCATCAATGCTAATATTGCTAACAATGACTGGAAGACAGTAGCCACCAATTAACATGATTTTATTTAAACAATGCTAATCTTTGACAATTTACATTCAGTCTTTGTTAACAACTTTAGTATTAATGGCCACTCCTTTAATACAGGAACTCCAGATAATTTCTAATATGACTCCATTCCGAAACATCATTTTCTCCGTAAGTGTTCATGTGATAAAAGTCTGCCAAAGTCTAAATAAAATGGGTAACACTTTACTGAAGGGCAGCATTTTTACATGACATTCCATATAGAAAAAAATAGATGTAAAATCTGTGGATCAAATGCATTTGAAAAATGTATGAAAATGACCAAAAATACAGTTCCACTTAACGTACCTTAGTGTTTGGAATATATTTTGGAATGAAACAATGTATGTTAAATGAATCTCAAATATAACTAATGAAATGCCCATGCATTCATTCTCTATATGGGATTTACACAAGCCTTTCATGACAACTGACATAAACCTACATAAACATCTTTGAAGGCTTATTTCAACAAGCATCAGTTGTCATAAAGGGTGTTTTTTTGTCAATTCTGAAGACATTTTACCTCAGAAAATGTTTTGTTCACACTTATTGGAATAAGCCTTTATTAATGTTTATTTAGGTTTATTTCAGTTGTCATGCAAGTCTTATGTAAGTGTTGTGTAGCCTTAGCCGCCCTTCAGTAAAGTGTTATTAAAAAATTAATAGTAGAAAACTGAATGACAAGAGCTAATATGTCTGATACGTCTCTAACAGCTGGCATCCGAATGGCGCCAGCTGTTCTCGCTGGTAGTGCCACACGTCATTGACTTGAATAGGCATGTCTGTTCCAGGAATCCTCATCCTCTGAGCTCTCTTTCCCAGGAATTTTCTTTCTGTGGGCAGAGCTATCAGTGACCACACTGCAGTGAGTTCCTCCTTTCTCTGTTGCATCACATGTTGAGTCATGTTTTATTCATAATTTGTTTTGCAGCATGAGCCTCAGCAATCACCCCTTGACCTCTGTAACCTTTGTGCTCCTGGTTGCTGGGGTTGCTGTTGCTGTGACGACCCTGCACAGTTTCCGTGGCTGCGCTGTGCGGGATTTCTCCTTTGTGGCTCAGAAGCCTGGCTGCAAGAGTCTGCGTATACACACAGAAGCATGCTGGGGCCGCTGCCACACCTGGGAGGTGACCAATTTGCTGCTTCACATATGCGAAACTCTGGTAGAGCTGGCAGAACATAATATGTTATATAAATATATTAGTTATATAATTACCATATTAAGGGAAACCAGTAGCAGGAATTGTGAATGCTTACTGTACTGCCTTAATTTACTCATAGCTGGTTGTAGCTGATACTTATTGAAAATGTAAAAATCACTTTATAATTACTGTAACTTTAGTGAGTATTTTAAGAATACCTTGTTTAATTCTCTTTTAGTAGGACCAAGGTTTATGTTGTAAATATAAATATAAATTTATATTGTACTGATGAAAGCTTTTGTTTTAAGTGCAACATAATCATGACAGTCAATATGCTACAAACAAATGTCTATTGTTATCTAAGTACCCTAAGTTAACGTCCTGTCAACCTTTATCACTGCCCACCTGCTCAGATATGTCCTCATCTTCCCGTTTTTATTCTCATCTTCTCGGTGCCACCTTGGTTTTCTGCAGTTCTTGCCGCTGCTGTATCTCTTCACATGATAAACATGTGAAAACTAGGAAATCAGTAATAAAGTCTGTAGTGAACAAACTGTTGTGTTAGCAAACACCACATTGTCACACTGAATTTGATCAGAGACATTGTAAAGGAGGAAACAGGTCACTGGTTGTAAAAAAAATGGGACAGATTGTAAAGGTCAACATGGCATCTTTTTATGGGAAAAAGTCCCATGCTTCAATGAAAACAGCCAGAACAATATTCTAATGCAGCGTTTTTTGTCAGATTTTACCAGTGATTTTAAATTTGTTTTTATAACAGTAATTTGGTCTTCAGTTTTGAGTTTTTAGTCTCTTCCCATTCAAAGAGATAAGGAAATAAAGGAAATAACTGCCTGACGGCCTTGCCAAGATGGCCACTGAGTGAATAGACTTTCCTATAATGACGTTGATTTGATAGGCTAATCTCTCGAGGCTGATTCTAGCTTCTTATTGGAATTTCCTTTCCACCTTTTAAGAATATTGCAGTGGTTACATGCTAGTGTCTGTCCTGGTAGTAGTCTTGGGAACAGATCACTGTGGCATCACTGGGAATCAAACTTGTGATTTCCGAACAATGAGACTAATGTCAGCTAACAGAATCATGTTATATATTGATCTGCCAATTGACTAGTTGCACAAGATGCTGCAGTACACTTCTGGTATAAGCAATGTGTGCATAATGACATGCACCGGTATCTTTGTTGATACTAAACAATGACTTTCTACATGAAATATTAGCAAGATCTGTCAAAGATAACAGTTAAAGACGTGTTTCACAATTTTTAGAAATTCTCTTCAGCAGCATAGTGTAAAAGAGAGAATCATGTGCTTAACAGTGACGTAGCACCACCAGTAAAGCAGAACTGTTCTGTTGCGTTTTTGTTTTGACAGTGGAATTTTCTGACTGTGAAAGAAAAACATTGCGGGAATGTATTTTGCATGTGACCGAGAAGTGGAGGAGCTGCAGGCTGTTCAAGTTGAAAAGGTCACAGCTTATTCAATAAGACTTTCATGGCAAATGTGAATGAGTGCATCCTGCTAAGTTAGTGTTTATGGGTTGCAAGTTTGAATGACACAAAGCCTGAACACATATGCTGGTAATGTACAAGGATTTGAGTGTGGATACTTTGGAATATTAGCTACACATTTAACATTGACTTTACTAGATAGCTGGGAAAATTTACTGCTGAGTTTACTAGACAGCTAAATTTCAGTGATATAACTTTCCTTTGTAATTATCTTTGTAAATCACCAGATATATTTTGAAGCCCTTCACTCTTGAACTCTTGTACTCTTGTGCTGATGAGAATGTCTGAAGATGCGATATACATCATTGGTTGTGATGTTTGGCAGATCCTGCCGAAATCTCAGAAAGTCATTGTGTAGTATCAATTGTTGTTATGCACATGCTACTTATACTCAAGTTAAACCGCATCTTTTATAACTAGCCCATTTGGTTGAACATAAAGTTCATTCCAAACTTTTGATCAGTAGTGTATATTAGATGGTTCCGTCCCCCGGAACTGTTGACAGAAACTTCTATTATATTAGCTTTGTAGCTCTAGTGTAAGAACTGAAGACGTAAACTTTAAACATCAAACGTATCTTGGCTGATATACTGTATTTAGGGTAAGGGTGAAACTGTGTAAATGTGATTTTTTTTTAGTGAACTGTTCCCTTAAGCTGGTGTACTGTGTTGTGATTTAGAGGCCAGTTCCGGAGCCTCCGTTCATTCAGAGGCACCACCGTGTCTGCACCTACAGCCGCTGGCATCACATGACCAGCCGCTTACCAGGCTGCCTGCCCGGAATCTCTCCGCTCTACCACTACCCTCAGGCCCTGCAGTGTGAATGTAATGCCTGTTCCTCACACTACACGGAGTGTGAGGCCTTCTGAGCATTCATACCCTCTGATACACATACAGTGCATGCTCTTGTGTCTTTAGTGGTTTCTGTGAGAATGTATCAGCATTTGTCTGAATGCATGAATAAACTATTATTTGTGAAGTGCTACTGATATCAATTGTGTCATTTCTAGACCACTTGCCTCTAAAACACCCCACCATTGCATCGATTACGCTGACAATACGTCTTTGACGTTACATAGAGATTAATCACAACAGCCTCTTTAGACCTCTTTAGAAACACCACAGAAAAAGCAACACAAAGGGTACTGAATTCGTTTTCCGTTTTATTTCATCAATAGATTGAACACATTACTCTCTCTCTCAAACTGCAACATTCACTCTTAGGCAAAAGAACATTCTCAAATATAAATTAAGTATATACATTCTTTATGTCATCCATGAAGCAGGAATCAAAATCTGGTTTAAATGTACTTTTTTGCATATACATAGTGTATTTACTTGTGCAGTAGGTTAAGTGGGTTGTTGTCATTTTTGTGCATTCAAGCCATGTTTTATTAAATGGGAATTCCACCAATTTTTCAAAATTTCTGCATAAACAAAGTCATGCATAGTGGTATGGTTAACTGTCAAGAAAATTACCAACACTTGATTTCTTTACAGTGGTGGTGATGAGAATGAGGAGCGGTAATGCCTACAGCACAAATATAACCCTTTCACTTACTAATGTTATCTAAAACAGTGAACATGTTAGTATCTTTGGAGTTTTTATATGTAATGTTGATAACAGTAAAATAGTGGTAAATCTGCAAAAAAATCTTTGAGGACTATTTTGCCTTATAACACCCTGGATGTATCCCTCCATCATGAAGAGAATTTTAAAAATAGATTTTAGGTGAAAACCTTATCTCAAAACTATTATTAAACAGTGTCTCTGGCATCAGGCAACATAACTGTCACCAGATCAACGCAGTAACACTTCAGATGTCTGGTTCCTATCACCACCATTGTGTGCAAGTCTGACTCCTGTTTCTCTAAAACAAAGCGTTTAATATTAAACAACTCTGTTCACATCTTCACCATTTAATTATGCAAAAATTTTGAAATATTGTCAGAATCCCTTTTGAAATCTGTCTCACATTTATAAAATAAGGTACTAAAAAACAATGAATTTAAACAGGAAATAAAGCATGTTTGAAGTGCTTGAGCATGTTTAGAATTGTGTCAAGTTGCTCGCTCTCTCCCCTCCCAATCTCTCTCTGTGCTGTATGTTCTGTGATGTTAAAGCAGGCCAGGCTGTTGTTGCTGTGGAGGCTCAGTAACGGGACTTGCGACACATGTCACAGCGGCAGGCCTGCGCTGTCAAGATCTCAATGTCGTCATGGTGACGGCCCCGAGGGCATTCCACACGAACTTTGACCTGAGGGAAGACAGGGCATCTCCAATATCAGTCATTTATAAAGAAATGTATCTGTGTTATTAATGGGCTTTGTGCCTGAATGTTTACATTCACACTACTGTTCAAAAGTGATTTAAATAATATAAGGTATTACTGAGGTCATAACATAACAAAAGTATTGTAAATCCACCGCATGACACTATACTAAATTATGTTATACTATTTATTAGAGATGCACTGATTTGAGAAATCTCGACTGAGGTCTATGTCCAATATGCCTGTATGTTTATCCTATATGCACATATAAACATAGAAACTGGGACTATTTGTATCTGGATTACTATTATAGAGCAATGTGACATTGATTTGTATAGTATTACAAAAGTAGTAAAATGAATAAAATGCAAGTACAGTAACCCAGCTTCCCTGTATAAACATTCTCTTCTTGTGGAATACACTAAACAATATCAAATGTCAGTTTAAATTTAAACTTGGTCTAATAGCAATACATTTTTTTCTAGCAATACCTCATTTTTTATTACAACATAATGATTATTAATCAGGAACAAAGGAAATCGATTGTTGTTACTGACTAAGTATTGAGTGAGGAATTCAAGTACGGAACCACTGGCAGTTCCATCAGGTTTAAGAGGAAACAATTATTTGCTGATATCAATATCAGTCTAATAAGCAAACATATTGTCACTGCTTACTGTATTCATAAGTATTTTTTCTGAGCAAATAAATGCTTACTGCCCAATTAAACAGCTTTAAATTACCATTTTCCCAGCAGCTTAAAACGTTTGCACAGTACTGCATATAATATAGTGATATATGCACCATGTAGGCACCATGATATATAGGCACCATGATATATTTGCATTAACACTTATTGTTTAATTATTAGCTGAACTGTGGTTTGATATGAGTGCACGTTGCCTCCACTGTGGCATCTCTGCTGTGTGTCTGTTACCTTGGCCGCCTTGCTGATGGTGCAGCAGCGGGAGGCGGAGGTGATGTTGTGTGTGAAGTTGGAGGCCAACAGGACAGAGTAGCGTGAGGGGAAAGCGCTGGACTCGCAGTAGCCTACACAGGCATAGACTACATGGGCCCCTCGACAGGTTCCCCGCCGGTCACTCCGGATGGTCACATTAAATGCTGGGAGAGAAAGAGATAGAGAGAGAGAGAGAGAGAGAGAGAGAGAGAGAAGAGAGAGAGAAACAGAGAGAGATAGGAGTATTGAAAATTAACATGGATGTGACACTAACACCATCTGTCTGACCTCGGCTCTGTGCGTGTGTATATACTCACGATAAAGGTGGCAGCCTGGGCTCAGCCCTTCAGAGCTCCAGCTAAATGGCATCAACAGCATCAGCAGCAGTATGGGCAGCAAGAGCACAAGCATGTCAGGGGTCACTCGTTTAGCCATGGAGTCAGTGCCCTGCGCATGAGAAAAAATTATATGTTGGCATATTTCAAACTGAATTCCGAGGTGTCCAGTTCTGGTTTTGTTTGGTGATTTTCTGCAGTGTTCGAGCAAAGAAAACACCAAACTGTGCTAGACTCTGGCCCACCAACACACAACTAAATAAACCAACGGGCTTTGACTGAAAATATGTCTGCATTTAAAAAACAATGCATTTTTTGAGGTAGCAAAGTCGGTATATGCTAATTCTCCTGTGTATGATTGAATAGAAAATGTGGGACAATTACAATTAAGTAACAATTAAGTATTTTTTTAAAATTGAATACCAGAACTGGACACCTATCTAATGTATTGCATTGGTTTAGTCACTTGCTGTATCAGTTACACATGAACAGTAGACCTTTGAGTTTCTCACATCTGGGGCTTTCCTGTCCTATGCAGTGAACATTTCAACAATAATAATAATAAAAAAGACTGAGACTTTCTCACAATTTCCCCAGTCCCCCCTCTCCTATCCAACTGATCCTTACATGTACATCCTCTTCTAATTTGACAAGATTTCTATGGGCAAACACAATTGCAGCTCTTCATACGCTGAACATTTGAAGTGAAACCCCCTTCCTTATGTCAACATTTTTGAGAATCCTGACAAAGCAGCCTTTATTCTCTTGTCAGGTGCTGACTGTTTCTTACTTCTACACTTATATTCACCATATACATGCCTGTCCACGTCCTAAGGCTGTATGACAGGAAATATACCCTCATTTGAATCAAACTAACAAGATGCACTAACATGAAGTTCTTTCACATGATGACACTGGTCATAAAACACTAAAGCAAGCCATGAGATGTATTAGCGACACTGACCACAGTTAAGTGGTGTTGCACAGCATGATGTAAATGGCCTTGAGTGACATGGGCTTGAGTGGCGTATTGCTTTTAAAAAATGGCAATATATGATAAAGACACAAATGTTAAATTAATAATTTGTAATTAATAATGCCACAATAAACAAATCGCCCACCAAGGAAAGCAACTCTCCATCCAGAGTTGCCAAGCAACATACTAATCAAAGATTATTCCATGAGCTGTACAATAGTGTGTAATAACTTGGTGCAATTGGCGCAGAATTAAACTGATGTGTGCAGTCATATGTCTGCATATTAAGTATTTTACAATAGCTTTACATGGCTACGTAGCTCAGCCACTCAGATTTCAGGACCGGAACTATTTGTTTTATAGTACTAAACTGGATTTCTTGTTCATTCTCTGTGTTCCACGTCATTCTCGGATTGTTCAATAATATTTACACACTTTGTTAAGTCATTTTTTCCCTGAGATGAATCTTTCCCTCTCAGTGAAAGCCGCCCTGACCTACTCTTGCTCTTTCCAGTTCTGCCGTTTTGAGAGCTGTGCTGTGATTATCATCTTGGGACTCTATTATTGGGGGGCGACAAATTGCACTGTCAATTAGGTGGGAGGGAACTCTGCCACTTTCTCCCTTCAAATGGTACCAGGGTTTCCATGCAGTGAGCTGTTGCTTAGAGTTTGTTTTTATTAGTCATTCCAGCTCTCTATCTTGTTGGCACCAACTCATGCTTTCATCCAGTTAAGGACTAAGATAAAATATTCTTTATGAGTAAGAGAATGCTAAATGAACAGTCCTGAATGTCACATTAGACCTTAACAAACTTACATAAAACATGGCACATTTGGATTGGAAAGTGCATCTTTTCTAAGTTTTACATCTTCATTAGAGCAACACTGACCTCTCAGAAGGAAATTCTAATGAGCAGGAATTGTCATCAACACTGAAACTGCCACACTCCAAACGATTTTTGGAATAAACTGAAGGCATTTAAATCATACAAACCAGTTATGTAACATGACATAAACAGAGTGATCATAAGATACAAATTCAAAGCAGTGATCAACATACAGTTGCTAAGAAAAAAACTGCAACCATGCATGTGCAAAAAATGGAACTTTAAAAGCAAAGCTATAATAAAATAATGCATGTATTGAGAACATTTTTACAATAAAAATGGGTTCAAGTAAGGCATAGATTTGAGATTACCTGTAGGCGTGGATCTTGCGCTATCCAGGTGTGTAAAGCTAAGTCAAACAAGTGTGTTGACTCTAAGAGCTCTCTCTCTCTCTATCTCTCTCTCTCTCACTACTATAAGTAGTGCAGGTAAAAATTATCCTCCAGCATCCCACCTAGTTACGCCCACATACTATCCTTTCCTCAGATCTGTGTATGAGACCCCTCCTTTATTCAACAGACTTCAGTGTCCTCTACTGCACCACATCTCTTTTTTTCCTCACTTAATTGTTCTTTCGTTTTCTCCAACATCGTTGACTCCCTTTCGTGACCCAGCATCTTTGAAGTGTAGGTGGTGGACAAGGACAGAGGAAATCTACAAATGAAATACCATTTGTTAGCATGTCTAAAAGAATGGAAATATGAATAATCAACATTTCCATGTTTCAATAAACTCACCTCAGTATCCCACTAGAACCCACATGCACTGTTTTAAACATCTATGTGTCTCTGTGTGTACAAAGACTTTTGTCTGTTTTTCAAGGCCAGATCCTTTGATGCCCCATTGGAGTTATGGTGCCCTGTCCCCACAAATTCTGAAAACATAACACTCCCCCTACCCTCATAACTCACACATACACCACCTATCCATTGATGACTACCTGAAACCTTGCGACATTTTCACTGGAAACTTATGGGTCCTATTTGCACCTTGCATCAACGCGTTTTTAGTGATGCATTTGGATTTTGTTTGACCGCATGAGAAGCCAAGTGTAAACACCCCCAGGACACACTGTGATCTGATTATGATTGTATCACTAAGACCACATTCAGAAGTGGTCAGACACCGAGAAGTGTAAATTGAAAACGTTTTCAATATCCATAAACCAAAGCGAGCCTTGAATTATCCCCAAACCAAATGCCTCCTTGCACTCTGGGGTGATAAAACTGTCCAAGCCAAGCTTGGAGAAAAACTAAAAAAAAAGTAGAAAAAAAAAGTGGAAAAAAAAACCAAACAAAAAAAAAAAAAATGTGCTGACATGCTTTTTATGTGGGGAAAGTAAAATCGGCTCTTATGTGGACGAACTGGGGAGTTATTTTAGTTTTATTGTGACTGTGTTTTATCCACATAGACATCACCTTCACATCAATTTAAGGCACGCATAATTATGACGATGCTTTTTGGATGTTAAAGGCTGGATTATTTGACAGAGACTGATGAGTCTGGTGTGCAAGTGTGTTCGGGTAGGGGAACTTTCAAAAAAGGTTTCAAAAAGTTCATTGTAAAGAAAGTAATGTTAAATATGTGCCCTTTGTAGCAACCTTTCAATGCCCCTGCCCAGTCACCCAACTCACTCATATAGATCCAGTCATGCTTTGTGTTTTTATTAACTGCAAGGGCCAGATTTTCATTCTTTCTCTATCTATTCTTTGTCCATACTTCTATCTATGCATTTCTTTATCTCTTTGTTTCCTTAGAATGGTCTTATAGAAAAAAAGAAAGTTTAGACATGGTTATGAAGACTTAAGATCTAAGATAGACACTTTAGATCTAAACGTCTGTGTGTGGGTGTGTTTTGACCAATACGTAGAAATCTATTCGTCTACCATATCTGGTCTCATGTGTGTCTTTTTGTAAGGCAAAGTATCTATACTTATAAAAATGTATCTGATATGCAAAGAATTGCTAGCTACTGGCTATATCATCAGTTTTTTTTTTGTTTTATTCTTTTTGGGGGACAAAGATTTCCATTATATTATATTATATAGCCATGCAGCTCCAGTGCAAAACTAAAGACAACCTTCAGGCACCAAACATGTCTATGCTGGGTATAAGGGGTAAACTGTGTAAGTATGGTTTTTTCATGGAGCTTTTCCTTTCAAGTTCTGCACATATTAATTGCTGTGTAACAGTACTGATAGGAAACTGTTACACAATACTCTCACTAATAACACCCTGAATACCCTCACTACAATAGCACAGTCATGCACAAAAATGCAATTAAAACCCATCATTATCTAACATGCACAACTTATGATGTCATTGGAAAAAATGGGTGACATCATTTTTGCCCCCTGCCTCTCAAGATAACCTCACATAGGCGAAGGGTCCTAATGGTAGCGTTACTCAACAAAACAAAACCAAAAAATCCCAAACAAACAAACAAGCAAACCAAACAAGTCTGAATGAACCACAGTATTTCTGCATGTGTAAGAGCTGAACAAATTCATCACGTATCTTGCTGAAACACTGAGCAGTATACAGTTTACTAAGAAACTGAACTACTAAAATACTGAATAAAAAAATTACTAAAATTTTGAACACTGATTATTATCTAATTTACTAACATATTGAACAATGAGATGTTGAGCAAATCCCGTTTTGCATTGTTATCCTACAGTTATGCCTTCATCAGAACAAGCCTCAGTTCAGAAAAAATAAGCAACTGCCAACCTTAGAGGACCAGCCTCTTTTCCAAGAAGATTAAAGTGGACCTCACTCATGGGGCAAAAGGGCAAAAATTTGAATGATAGCGCAATAGCACATTATGTTAGAGAGGGGAAAACTGTTGTCATACTCTCCTTTGTCGTCATGGCACCAGTAATACCGGCTTAAAGTGTAAGCGGACGTATTAATAATATCTTTTTTCATGCTCTCGTGTTTCCAGGTTACGGTGCTTCAAAACCATATGAAAATAAAAAACAGAAGAGGCAAAACGTGGCTCCAGGGACTTGAGTCATGTACCTAAAATTAGCACACTTTGAGAAGTTAATCTAATTGTTCTATATTGTTGCCAGTAATGATCTTTGGAGAAGGCAGTTGTCAGGTAAATGCATGAATAGTAAGAATGGGCTGGGGCAGGGGGAACGAGTGCACAAGGCCTAAGTGCACTTAGCACAGCCGATGAGTTCACCTTGTTCAGAGCGGTCCATCAAACACAAGTTAGTGAAGAGCAAAGCCTGGCTTACTGAGGAAGTGACAGGAAACAAGTAGAGTTTCCACCTGATGTTTATTGAAAAATAGCCTAATTATGTGAAAGAAATGTAAAAAAACACAGGTGCTGATTTACTGCAGTAACACGGTTCATACAATGGTAAGCCTGTTATAACAGCTTTAAAATTCCAAAAGAAGCAGGTATGTCATGTGGAAAACAAATGGACACACAGTTGCCCCATTTGAGGGAATTCATATTCAAGTAGTCACATTAAACTGCATTTATGCAGAAAAGGGGATTGAAATCTTACAGCTTTAAAGTCAGGGTTGGAACATAATGTAAATGACACACATTAATCAACTGAATTTCACATGAAAACAATGATAAACTTTGCAGCTTTTATGTCATAGGTCTTGCCTCATTATCTCCTGCCAAAGATCAGGGAGAGGGGAAACGTTGCATTTCTGGAAAAGGTAACCATTTCATAAGCAGAAATAAAAGGATTAAACTTGCTATCATTTAAAAACAACACTTTAAAAAGGTAATTTTGCTCAATACAGTACTGCAGTGGATTGCGCTATTTGTTAAACCATTTGTATCATGCCACTGCAAGTGTAAACAGTGAGGACAGTGAGATAAAAGCTTGAAGGCCTGCAAGTTTCTCACCTGACAAATCTGCTGAGCAGCCCGGGCTTCTCTCTTACTGTAGGTTTAGAGTCAGACATCTCAGGACCTTCCTGCTCCACTGCTCCAAAGACAAGATCAATAGTAGGGCAATCAAATTTACTCAAATTCAGTTTTTTGATTCAAGTTTTCTTTCTTAATGAACTGGCAATGATTAGTTGGAAATCTGCCCCATGATAATGAATATGTTCTATTCTCATACTAGTCCCTCTAACAGCAAGAAACAAAGCTTGATAAACCCATTTGTAGTAGATTACCCAAAGGTTTTACGCAACAAGTGCAAATCATGATGAAGGTGAAGTAGCTAAAGTTCTCAGGGACAACATTATTTAACACTCAAATCCCTGTCAGTACAACTGGTTCAAGAATATGCAACTGGAATGTTCATGTAACCACAACTAATTGTCCCCATGAACACCATGCCCACAGTAAAGTGAGGTAGGAGCACCATGATATGAGGCTGCTTCTCTGCAAACGGTACTGGGGTATTACATGTCATCGAAGGAAACATGAATTCAGTGATGTACTGGGACATATTAGAGGAGAATTTATTCTCATCAGCTTAGAAAGAAGAGAAAGTGCTTAAATGGCTTTGCCCTCCAACAGAGGGACCCGTGTAACCTTGGAGAACCCAGGACAGTTTGGCAAGAGAAATGGGCCAAGTACTAATGCTCAGGCCTGTCAGAATTATTACATACTTGTCTAATTGCAATTATATAAGATGATCGCAATTGTTTAAGCTGACTGCAATTATTTCCCAGAATTAGATTTCATGATCATATTATGCTGCAACAAGCAGAATGTAAACTGGGTGTGTTGGGTTGAGGAAAATAAATAAAAATACAAATCCACTTCCAAAAAAGTTGGGATGCTGTGCAAAATGTAAATAAAAACAGAATGCAATGATGTGCAAATCATTTAACCCCTCTGTTATATTCAAATTTACTAACATCTTTATCCTTGGGGTCAATTTGACCCGAGCAATTTAAACCTCCAGAAAATCATTATAATCAAAATTGTTACCCAAGTTATGTGTAAGGTACTTTGTTTCTCTGCACAAAAATTATGTCAATTATTTGCTTAGAGATAAATAATAAATGGGGTCCAACTGACCCCAATGATAATAGAAGGGTTAAACTCTATATTTAATATATTTAATATAACACTATTGGATGGCTGCGACCTTTAGGCCCTCAGGCAGCACTGCAGGGGTTCAGGAACACTTACAGAAACCAGTGTCAGTAAACACTGATGTTGCTGCATCCACAAATGCAAAGAACAAACCATATATAAACAGGATGCAGAAGTACTGCCGCCTTCTCTGGGCCTGAGCCCATTTAAGATGGACTGAGGCGAGGTGGAAAAGTGTTCTGTGGTCTGATGAATCAAAAACTGAAATTCTTTTTGAAAATCATGGATGCCACGTCCTCTGGGCTAAAAAGGAGAAGAAATATCCGGTTTACCTGCACACAGTTCAAAAGCCAGCATCTGTGATGGTACTGATGAACTGTCGAGCAGCTGAAATCCTATATTAAGCAAGAATCAAAAAAACATTTCATTTTCAGAACTACAGCAGTTGGTCTCCTCAGTTCCCAAATGCTTACAGAGTGTTGTTAAAAGAAGAGGTGATGCAACACAGTGGTAAACATGCCCTCGTCCCATTCTTTTTGGAATGTGTTGCTTGTATCAAATTAAAAATGGGCATATATTTTTCAAAAACAACAAAAATTCTCAGTTTCAACATTTGATATGTTGTCTTTGTACTATTTTCAAGTAAATGTAAGGTTTAAATGATTTGCACATCATTGTATTCTGTGTTTACTTACATTTTGCACAGCATCCCAACGTTTTTGGATACAGGATTGTAAAAGAAAGCAGTAAATGCATTTATTGAGACAATCATGGAATTTCTAACGTGGTGCTCTAACATGTTTACAGGGTAGCATGAGTAATGTTTGTTAATGTTTAGTTCATGTTTTTAGCATGTATGCTGGCAGAATGAGTGTAGTTTAGCTTGACTCTACAAATGATTCTGTGTTAGATGCCAACATTTGTTTAAGTAAATATGTCCAGGAACAAAGATGGCAAATTATTACTACAGCTACTTTACACTTGTACTTTAACAGCTGAATACAATGAGAAAAAAGAATTGACTTAAATCGTAAATTGCAATTATTTATATGACAATGAATTATCAGCTAAAATTTCTTGATGATCATAGCCAAACCAATGTTATTAGTTTGTGGTGTCTGAATAATTTATTTTGGAACATTTTCATTTTTTTATATTTAGTTTTAAAGCACATCTTTATGCTAAAGAATACATACTTTTTTATTCATATGTATAGGTGAGAAAACGTTTACATTTCAAGCAGACACATACACTGGAAGTATAAAGTGTCTAACTACTTATTTCCTCTCACTGCGTATACATTTTGTGCTACACTGTGTTCTTATATTTTGTGTTACATATTTCTTATATATTTAAAAGGCTTTTTAAAAGCGGTCTAGTTTTCCTAGTACTTGCCAAGTATCTTTGTCTAATAAAGCAGGGCTGCCCAAAATGGGCCCTTTACGCCAAAGTTGCAAGGACATTTAATTTGGCCTACCAGTTGCCTAGCCCCCTACCACCTCAGGCAATGGGAGAACACATTTTTACACAACTTCTTATTAATTATTATTTTTCTTTCAAAAATCACCTTTAGTAACATACAGTGTACTGTCATAAATAAGCAATGGCCCATGACACCATATAATTATCGTTAACTGCAATGCAGATGTATCACATATGTAGCTTTTACGAGCTAACAGAGTATAACAGGCATCCATACACAGACAAGAGAATATTTAGAAACCCAAAAATATACTTCTTCTGAATTTAAAGGCAAGTCAGTGCATCATATGTAAGGAAACCACTGGAAGAAAAACATAAAGAAAAACAATTTACGAACTAGCTGTTTTTTTTTTTTGGCCCTCGGCCCACCATAAACATCACACTTCGGCCCCCCATGACAAAAGGTTTGGGCACCACTACAATAAAGAATTTTGCATTTTTCGAAAGTTCTATCAATTTTTGTTGTTTGACCTACAAAACTCTGATAACTCAATGTACTGTCAGAATAATCTGTCCCACTTTATTTGCACAGTCCCTTATAGATTATCTAGAGATTATTAACAAACTATCTGATGAAACTAAGTTGATTCTCAATGGTGTTATGGTTAGGATTAAGATTAGGTTTTTGGTGGAGGTTAAGATCAGGGTTGTGAGTGTTAGATTTAGAGTTAGGTAAACCTAAGGTGAATTTAATAGACATTTAGTTAAAGGCAAGTTAAGGGCAAAGTAAGTATCTACACGGCAAAAAAACATCTACACTCGGGACTATCCAAATATAACGTTACCTAATAATCTACTAATATAACTCATAGTGACAGCCCTAGTCACAGCAGAAATGACTGCAGAAAACAAGGCAAAAGAATTAAAGTGATATTTATGGTGAGTACGTGACTCATCCTCAATTGCTGGGTTCTTGGCACTTGGAACAGGCTGGGAAGGCACCTCTGAATCAGCATGTAACTGTGAAAGAAAGAGAGTGTGAGTGTGCGATTGTGTGTGACAGAGAGAGACATAGAGAAAACAACAGAGATGATGGATGTATTGGCTCTTAAATCTATCACTATTTAAATAAAACCAAAATGCGGCTGCTCTTTTATTTTTATCCGTTTCTATAATTAACATAATGGAGCTAGTTATGCCACCTGAGTGGGCTAATGTGTCAGATTGTTTGCCCTACAGGGGGCAATAAAGAATGTTTAAGCACCCAGACAGATAAGGTTTGTGTATGAATGATAGACAGAACACCACACACACACCTCATTGCCACAAACCATCCCTTCTGCACCATCAGCCAGGTAAGGGGACTCTCTAGGAGAGAAAGAGGGAAACAGAGAAATCTATTTGTTCTCTTTTAGTTGACACATTCAATTCTTGTACCCATTTCCAGCACATTTAACATGAAAACACAAAGTCTGTTTGAGGCATGTCTGTGAGCTCATCAGCCTAAGGCCACACAAATCACCTGAATAAGACTGTCTATTTTAGTGCTGGCAGGAAGGTGGATTGTATAAACTGTATTACTGAGGTCTTCACCAGAACAAGCCTAAGGCTAAGCTTCCCTCAGTGCTTCTAGAGAAGTCCACGTTTTCAGATCAGCACTCTTAGAAGGTTCCAAAAAGCGTTCTTTGGAGCGTTGCAATAGAAGAGCCACTTTTGTCTGCCTAAAAAACCTTTCAATGCATGCTTACTTAAAGAACCATTTTCATAAAAAAGACTACAAATTAGATTTTGAATAAGATTCACAAGGCTCGTGTGAAGTGTCTTTTTTTATAATGTTTAATGAGTCTCTACATAATGTAAAGGGTCTACACCAATGAATGATTGTTCCTAGAACCCTACGTCCAAGCAAAGAACCATTCTGTGTAACATTTATTTAGAGATGTCTACGCAATATGACAATGTATATGAACAAAAAGATAATATTTAATTGTTATGGAGCTAAATTACATCATCATGACCTCATCACCTTTTTTGAGTATATTGTGGATATCATCAGTACTTCTGGAACAACTGCATGCTTCATTAGAAAGAGAGCCCAATTAGTCCTGATTAAATGGATTTTGTGCAATTCAGTATATGAAATTGTTTTTCATAGGCTTGAATATGACACTGCTATTTTGCAAGGGCTTTCAAATCTGTTTACAAACAAAAATGAAATATCGTGGCATGTATCATATGTTGTGAAAATGTCTTCAGATATTGGTTTGTTTTATTTTAGCCAAATCACCCACCCCTAGTCTATACTAGCTAAAGATTTTCCCTAGAACTGCACATTTAAGCAAAGGCCCTTTGAGCTTCCTTTATTTTAAGAGTGAAGGTGACATGTGGGTTTTCCCTTGCCCCACCGCAAAACAGATATAAATGCAAATTAGCTGCATTTGTCAAAACTGTCTTTGCTCATTTGTGATGGGAGGTTTTCATAAGAACAAAATGATTATGTTCAGTTTGCTGGCTGAGTGATGGTTTGATTGAGATGGCGCCCCGTGTTCAGCCTCCTCCGCTGGACTATTTCATAACTACAGCCTCACATTTGATCACTGCAGCAAATGTGACAGATTAGACTAGTGACAAAGCAAATGCTCATACAAACATCACCTCGAGCTCTATCTGCCTACTGTCTTCCCACACTGAAGTCTGTTTTCTTAACATCAAGGGATTAAGGTTAGAGTTATGTTTAGAGTTATTGTTACGCTTGATTGTATTTTCAGCATTATCAGTGTCTTTTCATAAGAAAGATTCTCTCTCAGGAATATTAAAAGTGCTGAAATATTTCTGTCACTATGACATGCTACACAGACATGACAGAGATCCACAGTAAATCAGCATTACGTCACAAAGAACTTACTTCCAGATGCATAATGCCGGTATTGCTTTATTATTGAGTTATTTAACCGAGATACTGAAAAAACAGAAAGCTTTCAGTGATCTTAAAATGAAATATCAACATATTAAATTTGTGTACCTGTAAATAGTCGCAATATGACAAACTAGATTCTCCTAATGTTGTTGTTATTGATATTGGTAAGCCTCTGTGCTACTAAAGCTGTTTCTAGTTGGCCATTAATTTTATTTTTTAAACTATTAAACTGTGTATTATTACTCAGTGATTAATCTTAAATAAATATTCCAGCATTCTTCAGCCTAATCTCTATCTACTACATCTGTAAAATCATTTTGACACCAAAGCAACAACTCATTGGCTTTTGTTAGAGGTCTGTTTTGAGCCACTTGAGTTTTCTAAATACATTGTTAGAAATAAAGGTTCTGTGCAGGTACATTTTTCATTCGTCAGGGTACAAACAATGTAAATGTTCCTTCAAAGGTTCAACAGTGGTTTTAAGGTCCAATTGTACACCTTACATAGGTTTTTCATGCTGAAAAGTATATATTTGTACCTTTTCATAACCTAATGGTTTAAAACAGAACAAGAAGAGACAGGGTGTGTGGAGACAATACAATTTAGAAAATATAATTTCAATGGATTATAGTCCAATTATGTTCCCTGACTAAAGGTACTGAAATGTACCCTTGAGGTAGCACCCCAGTGACAGTTTCATACCTTTATTTTTGAGAGTGTACAGGGAAACTCGGCAAAATTATTGTCTGTGCTAACAGACAGTATGATGAAGATATGGAAGACAGGTTAGGTTACATAAAGATTAATAACTGAATAAGAAGTGAGTTAATATGCAATAATATGTAAGTTATGTAGTTATAAGAAAGAAGGATATAAGTTTCTGCCGAGTTAAAAATCACTTTGCCTCACTGCATTTAATACTATTTATAGCAGCTCTATATGCTCTTAAAATCTGGAAACAGGAAAAGCAGAAAAAGTGGGAGCAAAAAGAGGAAAAGCGAAAAAAAAAAAAAAACAGGATAAATTAAAATCTAAGTCATTGTATACATCTGAAACACAACAAGATTTTACCTTTATTAACCAATGTTTTGATTCAGTGTGTTGTGTTTGTATTTACCTCTACTTAAAATGAGCTGTTTTCACCGCTGATCAGCTGCAAGTTAGCCAACCTCTATGTTTACAAACATTCTGATTTGGTCTATTGTTTGAGAACAAACCACAACTGTTTCAAACAATTCATACAAACTTTTACCAAGAGACCAATTAGTGGTGTTATGCATGTCCTCTTTGTAAAGTACACTGTAAAAAGTGGCTCATCAGATCTACCTAAAAAATTAATTCATGTGGTAAGAAGAAATTAAACTAGTTTATGTAACTTAAAAAACTACACTGATTGAAAGAATGGTTCATTGAAAGTATTTATTTAGGTTGAATAAAACTAGTTAATTTACTTGTTACCACATGAAGTATTTTTTGTAGGTAGATCTGACCAGCCACTTTTACAGTGTAAGTTACAGAGAAATATAGCCAATGAGCTGTCAATTCAACCGCTTTTTCATAAGATTAAAACATTAAAACATTAAAACATTTCAGGGGGATCTTTCAGTAACTGACCCTATAAAATGTAAAATCACATTTCTGTGTGGCCAGTGAAAGATGGAGAAACTGTATGAGCCCTCGGAAAACAGCAGAAAGTATGTGATGGAGAAAACAGTATGAGAGGAATGACATTAAAATTAGAGTCACATTCACATTTTCAACACCTACTGGAAATACACAGGATGGTGTGCTTCTGCCATGTTGTGATAGTTGGCCTGGCTCAGAGCACCCTCTTGTGACTGTTCTGTTGTCCTGTGCTTGGGTTCACTTGGTGGACTGTCCAGTATAGACTCTCTATCCTGTATAAAAGAAAAATAGTCATTTAATGCAAGTACAAAAAATTTCTGACAAAACGTGCATTAGAAGAACAAAAACATTCAGAAGTTTTACACATGTAAAAACATTGCAAATCTTAATTGTTACAGTAACACTGGACCAATTTCACAACTGAGATTAAAGCTCAGATTTGTCAGTATTTTAACGCAGGCCTGTATTTTACCATGACTCACCAATGCACTTTAATATGTTACAAGGTGCATTGCAGTCGCAATAAGTAGCAATATTATCATACTAGTATTTCAACCCTATTTCATGGTTGTTGCATTTGTAAATAATTTATAAATAAGTCTGCAAATGGATATTACAGGTCAGTGATCCCGAGTTGTCTTTATTCAGTTCTCTCTCTATGATGCAAAACTGTCATCATACTGTGAAGTTAACCTCTATAAATTGCACAGAGGAAAAGTGAGTCATCGTGTATTATCTCTCTGACAGTTAGATGGACTATACTGAGGTTGTGCAGATGATGCAACTGCTTGGGTGTAAGGGTTTGTTTACAAATGTGTAATTGGTTCCTTAGCTCTCAGGAACACATGCTGCTTAAAAGCTGAGAGGAGGCTGGACCAACAGTAAAAGTTCCTTATGTCTTCAGCGTAAGATGCATGCTAGGCGATGAAAGGTACTCACTGGAGGGACCCATACATTTGTGTGATTCACTGGAAGACAAGAACAGATGCAAAACGTAATTAACACCCATCACTGCACTATTTAAGCATATGCAAGCTACTGAGGGTTGCTCACCTGTGTGCTGAGGGACTGGCTCATTTGTCTCCACATAAAGTGTGATGAGGAAAGGGTAAGCCAAAAGCTTCATGTCTCCCTTCTTGAACCTCAACTCCGACACGCGCTCCCACCTATTCTTATCTGTAATCGAAGCATTGTAGAGAGCAACAAAGTCTGAGCAACAGTTATTTTTTACAAGACCCTAAATGGTTTCGCATCCCCTTTCAGCTGACCTCCTTCTCCCCTGTACTGCTGCCTAATGTCTTCTAAAACTGGGCTGTAGTGGTCCCTACTTTTAAACTGTCCACTTTTTAGGAGCAGCTCTTTCAGCACCACAGCACTTAAATTGTGAAACACTCTTCCTCAATCTCTTTGATTTGGCTCCTTCCTTCCAACATTAAAGTCATTCATTCTAATACCTTCACTCTTTGTCCCTCTCCTAATGTTACCACCCCCTTCCATTATTGTTGTTCACGGTCTATGATAAAGTAAACTTACTTTTATTCCTCAGTTTCCTCGTTTCTCATCATTTATCCCCTCTTCTCCTTAGTATGTTACTAAATCTCTTGTTTTCTTGTGTTCCTTTGCACTTATGTCATACTAGTGTCTTTGTTTCTATGTCTGCTGTTATATTTTTCACACGTCTGTCTTATCTTTGAAACATTTTTGTACATTGATATTGACCTGTGTCCTTGAGAATGAGAAGGTGCTATTTAAATTAAACTTGTTATTAATATCATTCCCAGTATAGGGGTAAGAGTAACGACGCTAAACATATCTTTAAAAAAACATACAAGGGAAGATGTTGAAATGCTGGGTGGAAAATGGCTGAAGATTGTCCAGGTTCATAAGCACAGCTCGTACAGCATTCTGTAAGACAATGGAGGAGAGTTTAATTTACAGCTATTACAGTGCATTAAACTCTGTTTGTTTAATCTCTCTGTTACCTCCAGCTCTTCACTGACAAACTCACTATCCAACATCTCTTCTTCACAACTATGAAAAAACAAAAAGAAGTGTGTTAACTGAACTATTAACTTAGATTTTAACTAAAACAATCAAACTAAAAGGATAATGCTGGTTTTATGGACAAAGTCCTAAGGCATTGTGCTGGACTACAAAGAATTTTCAGTACATAATTCACATGATGGTGTACACAGTCTCCATCTGTATGGACCAAAGCCAGTAAAATATGTAAATATCTAGGAAGCAGTACATGCTGTCCCATGATGCAGTATTACTCTCTTACAGATATACTGTTATCTACATTTCCCAAATGCATCACTTTGATGATTAATATTAACAAAGCAGCAAATCTTGCCTGATTTTGCTTCCACTCCTTATCTTAAACTTGTAAATCCGCTGGCCAACCTGAAAGAACCTGGTTTCAGGCACAGGGAATGAAAAAGCCTGAACTGGCATACTTCACCTCAAGGCAATGACCTGCTGTGCAGAAAGAGACCGAAACTAATGATAGTGTACATTTTAGCTGGTCCAGTAGCCAAAATTGTCTCAGATAGCTTATGTGTCCTAGATATGAAAATGTCTTCACATATCTAAGAGACATTACTGTCTTAGTCAGTCACAGTCCTGTCTTAGCTAACAGCTAACAAAGTCCATTACTGGAATGTAGCAGTCACTGTTCAGAGGTAACCATGGAGACACAGGAAGACATTTGTGTCGTGTTTGAAAATTACATAAATAATATAAAATTTAAAGCTTATTTATAGTTAGTTAAAGCTTAGAATTTGTAGCTACCATTAAACGTCAAGCACCTGAATTTCAGTGTTGAATTTTAGGTATCAATGACCAGATAACTGTTACAGAAGTAAACCTACCAATCACCGCCTCAACTACTGGACTTCCCGCCTCTCGTTTCTTTCCCCCACCTGATTGGTCTATCTTTCAACCAATCAGCTGCAGATCTGCTGCAGTCTCTATGGTGACGAGCACCATTGTTCCACCCACATCATCACATGACTAAGGTAGGACTACACATGACTGTCCGCGGGAAGCTGAGCTGGAGTTTTTATATAACGTCATTTATTGTACAATTTAATTAAATTATACGAAAAGCACAGTTATACGAAGGACGTACTTGCAGGACGCACCCGCAATCGTATAAAATTAGTAAAATCGTAAAAGATAAAACGATTTAGTTATTTTGCACGGCCTGTAGGTTGAATTAGCATGTGGCTGTTCTGAAAATGTTATTCTTGAAATAAACAACAAGCTCTTCATGAGGTGACCTTTGTGTATTAGAGCAGGAAGGACGCTACAACACGCTGGGTAGTGGGTATTGGTACTCCAGGACCAGGACTGAGAAGATATGCTCCAAAATAACTAAAGTAGCTACAGTAGCCATGTTCTAATTCAACCTACAGAGCGTTCAAAATAACTAACGTTCAAGTTACTCCTATGGCTGTCGTCCGTAGACTGTATGTACGGTCTGTGCTGTCATTTAATGATCAGTTGCATCGTCAGTTGTTTTGGGAGCAGGGGGAGTCTAAAATGTGCGTGGCAGTGGTGCTAGTGGTTCTCTAGGGCTCCTGTAGGCAGCACAGAGCAAAAGAAAGTCATCGAGTCATCAGGACTAGGATTGAGAAGCAATGTTTTGGAGCAGCTAATATTTTAGAGGCTGTGTACGGCAAGCTGTTTTTTCAGTCCACAGTTTCTTCATGAGACTAATGCAAATTTAATCTTTACGTGTAAAAATTTAATTTGTGGCAGTTTGGTTTCTACTAGTTAGAAATCGGTTAAAACATGTAATAATACGAATTTCATCATGCCAGAATCTAGTTTTTACTTGTGGAAATTGTCATGTTAAAATTTAATTCATACTAGTAAAATTTGCTCTTTCTATTAGATAAATTGGGAAAAGCTATGAATTTGTAGTGAGAACTGAAATTGTACATGCTAAAATCTAAATCCAGTTTTTCTTTATTTGATCTAATAATTTCAGATATTAAAATTGTGGAGTAAAGGATAAAATGGTTTTCCATAGCATAGCTTTAAAAACTTTATTCCACTGATTTCATAACAATTCTTTTGCAGTGCAGTAGATGCATTTTTTGTCTATTTTTCTGTAACCTTGTGTTTCTCAAAACTAAATTCTGGCATCATTCTGTGCTCAGGTGCCTCAGTTCCCAATGACGGACCACAGTTCCTCTGTCCTGCTCAACACCGGGGCTCATATGCCACTGTTAGGCTTGGGCACATATCGTCTGCAAGGTCCTGAGGACACCTACCAGGCTGTGGATGCTGCCTTAACAGCAGGTTACCGAGCCTTTGATACAGCAGCAGTCTACCGCAATGAAGCAGACCTTGGCCAGGCCCTTCGCACCTTGTTGCCCAAACATGGGCTTTCCCGAGCAGATGTGTTCATAACCAGCAAACTGAGTCCAAAAGACCAGGGTGCAAAAGCCAGAGATGGCTGTCTGAGGAGCCTGGAGCAGCTGGGGCTGGACTATATTGACCTATATCTTATTCACTGGCCTGGTACGCAGGGTGTAGCTGTGGGGGATAAGCGAAACCCTAAGAACCGTTCTCAGAGCTGGGCATCCTTGGAGGACTTCCACATGGAGGGAAAGTTCAAGGCCATTGGAGTCTCAAATTACACCGTGAAGCACATGCAGGAGCTCCTGAAGGCGTGCAGAGTTGTTCCGGCTGTTCTCCAGGTGGAGTTCCACCCGAGGCTGGCTCAGATGGAGCTTAGGGCTTTGTGTGAAGAGAGTGAGGTTTGTTTCCAAGCGTACTCCTCGCTGGGCACCGGGGTACTCCTCACTGACCCTGTTGTTCAGGAGGTGGCAGAAAGATGTGGGAGGACTCCAGCTCAGGTGCTTTTGAGGTGGGCTTTGCAACAGAATGTGCCTGTGCTGCCAAAATCTTCCAAGCCTGACCGGGTGCAGGACAATGGCCGTCTGTTTGACTTTGAGCTCAGTGACGGCGACATGGCAAGGCTTTCTGCTCTGGACTGTGGGGAAAAGTTCTGCTGGGACCCCTCACTGGTGGTTTAGAACATCCCCTGGCTGTTCTTCAGTGCCAAAACCCTAGATGAAACCCCTGATATGTGACTTGCAGATGTTGCTTTATCAAAAAATATTTTTTGATTATTTTCTATGTTTATGAGAGATTAAAATGATCTGCCTTGGTGGTGAAAAAGAAAAGAATTTTGAAGAGGATATTTTTAATAATTTAGGATGTTTTTTTCTAATATTTAAGTTTACTTTAAGATTTTAAGAAGTGGTAAAGGGAGATCAATGCAGTGAAAGGTAATCTATAGAGTAAAGATGAAACATGTAGAACTAGTTTCTCAGACCCATATTAAGACAAATCCTAGATTAAATAAGTACCCAATGGTGAATAACCATTGGCTCTGCAATTTAGTTTAAAACTAGGCTGAACTCATGTCATGTCATGTTTCCCAGACATGAGTCTGGGAATGTTCATGATCTCAGTTGTCATATGCCTCAATGTTTGTATTAAAGATCACATATGCCAATATGAATGTGAAAAAAAATCTTTTTTTCAAATTCAGTACCTATAAACAAATTTCTGGGTGCTTGTTGGTGTGAAAGCTGATTTACTTGAAAAACCAGCTGAAAGAAAAGCAGGCACTTTCATTTGTTTAGATACTAGTTTTTTTTATTTTTACAACGTAGTGGTAATGAAAATTATGAAATAGTCATAATAATAATAATAATCTTAGAATGTTAAGCAGTAAAAGGCATTTGATATTTACATTTTCAAGTAACACCAGTGATGATAGTAAGGCTCTTTTTTCCACTATGAAATTTTTGTTTTAGCAACTACTGTGGTTTACCTTGGAGCCCTTATGCTCTCATGTCACAGAAAGAGCTCTTTTATAGCTCAAAGATAGTGGAAAAGATTAAACAAGCACAAAAATTGTCCAAAGTCCTTATTATCAACCCTGTATACAACCTAGAAATAAGGTACAATTATAAAGTCACACTGTTTTTACAAAGCAGTCTCAAAAAAATCAATATTTTAAAAAAGTTCATATACAACACCTGTTTCTTTTATCTTCAGGAATCTTCACATTGATGTTCATTTGTTAAAAATAACTAATCTCATAACCTGTACATAAGGCTATATCCATTAAAAAAGGTAATAGCACTTGAAAGTGCTAGTTTTGATTCTATTAGGCCTTATCTAAAACATTTCTTAACAGTACTGCCTTGAAAATGGCAGTGAATGACACTGTCTAAATGCTCCTAACTGATCATTCTTACAAACTGATTTGCATAGTTTTTCCACAGTTCCAGAAGAGAGACCCTGGAAGGATCATCATCTATTCTCTCAGACACAGCAAATGCTGTTCATAGGAAGACAGCTTCTGAATTGTTTGATTGGTCAGGGGTTCTAATATCCATTTACTTAAGGCAAAGGTTTTAAACTAGCCAGTCAAGACAGAACATCAGTCCTTCACATCTGTCCACTGGCTCTCAGTCCATTTTCTCTTTTCCTGTACACACACTTCTACAAAAACAGTGCCATCTTTCACTCCCGTAATCCGTTGTTCGTTCACTCTGCAGGACGGGTGTCTGGTGCTGTTAGACTGCTGCTGGCCTCAGAGTCTGACTCTTTGTGGCTCCAGAGAAAGGCAAACCAGCTGGGGGAAGTGTGCATCTGACGGGCTGTACCTGCACTCCTCACTCTCTTCATCTGATAAATAATGATTTTAAAGATGAGATAAGAGTATCATTAGTTAAAGGAATATATCAACCAAACACTGCTTACTAACACATACTGCTAATGCAGCTATCAATGAATGTAAGGTAGCTTTAGTATAGTTTGCTTTCATTAACTAGCAGCATTAGCTTTTTCAACTGAACAAGTCATTTCCTTTAAGGATGAATGGATAAACAACCTGTGCATCTGTAGTTTCTCTACTTACTTTTACTTACTTTTCTGACCAATATTGCAACTGTTATTTAAACTGAGATTATTTTATGTTTGGCCTATTTTATGGTTTATGTTTTGGCCAAGACCATCAGCACATCCATTTTTTCTCAATTGAGGCTTGAACGCTGAATGTAGTGCACCAGACTGCCAGTTAGTTGTGGCTGTGTTGTTGTGTACACCTCACATCGGTGTTTGGTTGCTTCTGATTGGTCTGACTCGTCTACAGGTAGTTCAAGAGCTCTGTGTTAGAGGGTTCCCCACTTAAATTCCCTGCTTAAAACTTAAGACAACATTGTTGATTATGTAGACTATGGTTAAAATTGCAAATCTTTCAAATTTCATTGGATATAAAAACAATTAATCCATGTTATTGTGTATCAAGAGAGGACACCAGTGCTCTGCATTTATGATTCTTCAAAACTGGAAAATGTTTGATTCTCACAGCTGCCCTGATAAATCAGGACATTTCTCTGTTCTTGTGTTCCAGCTAGCAATTCTCACCCCTTTGTCCAGCAAGGTGTCGAACTCGTCACTCATCTTCCTCAGCTGTCTGCCATATTTCTTTGCTGCCCACAGAGCAGGGGGGGCCGAGCGGCAGCGACGGCGGAAAGAGTCTCCATCTGCAGCTCCATCTCCATGTCTCCCAGCCCCGGACTCCTGAAGGGCATCCTCATTCATAGAGTGATTCCTCTGCCTTGACTCTATTACAACCAAAAAAAAAAGTTTTATATTTTGTTTATTATGTCTCACTCATAGCTCACTGTAACATCAAGTGCAGATTGCAACCTTTTAATTGCTACCACATTTATGTCTGTAAGCACGAGAGGAAAATTTGATAAAAAAAAAAAGCTTCCATTACGCTTACAGAAACTTTGCATTTTTGCTGTTATTTGCTGTAATTTGTTATGTAACAGATCATGTAACAAATTACATAATTGCACATAATTACAATATGAATCATATGTATACCAATAATAATTCTAGATTTTTCTAAAGGCTAATATGTTGTTTATGTTGATACTCTCCATTTGTAATTTTCTGAATATAAGGAAAAAAAGTTTCCTAAGTCACTGAAGGTAGACAAATTGTTTGTACAGTACCTATCCACATAGGTGAGTCATTATTTACAAAAATAGATCATTTGTTTTTCACTGGGGGCCGTACCGCTTTGTATGTGTGTGCAGCCTGGATACAGAGTAGATGACGGCCTGCACACTTCCCACGAGCCCTAGCCTAGACACTGACTCACCTCTGAATCTCTCTGGAGCAAGGGAGTGCTGCCCAGACTGCGGCAGCTCAGCTCTCTTACTGGCTTCTGGCTGGTCTGCGTCTCCTAGCTCTTCAGAAGCGTCTGAGTCGTCCGATAACGTGAACATATGAGCCATTGTGAAACCTAGAAAAATAAGCCAGCGTTTCAACACTAGTGACAGTATCCTTAGTAATCCTGACCAAAACCTTTAATAGACTCTTTGCTTGACATATTCATCCTCCTCGCAAATTTGTGTGTCAATGCATGTAATAATGTTATATTTACAAGCCTAGTTAATATGTTTAATGCTAGATTAGGTAATGGCTGAACCACTGAACATGATGATAGGTATTATATGAGTAAACAGGAAATGAACAGCATATACAAGGGGGTGCATATACATGTACTCTCGCTGTCGGAACAAAACATTATATCTCCACAAACTTTACAGGAGAACTGGAATGGAAGTTAATGGAACAAGTATTTTTACACCAATTCTAATGCGCAATTCTTCACAACATTTGAACATGCTGGCTTTTCTTGCAAAAATGAAAAATGGAGATACAAGGTTTTGTTACAACAGCAACATTATTTAACTGAACAGTCATGAAACCAGTCTTATGTGTACTGTTTATTGTCAGGCAGTGCAATCGTAGTATAGTGCTCTCACAATCGGTTGAGAATGATTCTTTAAGCTGCAGGGCAAGACAAACGTTTATTTAGGTTAAAATTAAAAAGTCACCTCTACACTTACAACCAGGTGGTCAAGCCAAATACTTCAGTTCACAGATGCAGCGTTGAGGCTTTTTCATTCAGCGTTAGTTCTTTTCTGTCATCCATTAATCACTCATAATGATGAAATCGTTCATAAATTAGTGTTCTTGTTGTGAGCTGCCATGGTTTGAGGAGCAATGATCTGCAGAAATGATCTATAGCTCTCTGTCAACCATTCAGCTCTTTCTGCATAGTAACGTACACTCGACCTATAAGGAACCATTTACAGATTCATGAAACAGACATAGTAGTAGCAATCACAAAGGCACCCAGCTTTTGGATACAAACACCTCACAGACATCTAAGTTAATGTGTGCTGGTTGCTGTTCGTGTTCGTTGTGGTGCGCAAACCTGAAACAGAGCCAAATCACTCAGTGAATCTGAGTCGGTTTCACCCTGTAGCAGTTCATCAGCGTGTATATTTTATTGAGGACATTAACCACACTGACCTGTAAACACCACTCTACCGCTAATCAAACATCGGAATAAAGACTAGCTAGCTATCTGACATTAGCAACTTCCGCTTAAACAACCGCCTAAATGGCTCAGTTTCAGTTTTCACGATTTAAAAGGTAAAGTAATGATGCTGCAACGCATGCAGGCAGGAATAGTTAAACTAACTTGAGCAGCTAAAGGCAGTAATCTAATAGGTCTATACAGAATCTGAGCCGGCGACCTGTCTCACTGGACTGAACCGCCGAGCAGCTAATTATAAACAAAGCTAGTTTAAAGTTACCTAACAAGCTAACTAGCTAGCTCGCTTAGCCTCGTTAGCGGAGTTACTTTTAGTTCTCGGTCTCGCTGACTTGAAGTTATTTTTATCTTTATATTGCAATTTACCGTCAGCTTGCATCGGTTTTAAGAGTGAGTGGACTTCAGAGGCGGATTCGGCCAAGTATCATGTCCCTTACCGAATCTGGACGACTGACAGTTCGGAGCAGAGCCACAGATCGCCTCTTTCGACACTCTACACTTTCTGTGTGTGTGTTTGGGTTTCTGTGGCTTCTCCACCAATCACAGTGTCTGAGTAGTCAGACCTTTAAAGGAGAACTCCAGCGATGTGTTAAAATTCGGCATAATTAAACATTTAATATGATGTGAACAAAGTCATTCAGCGTGTGTTGTGAAATGTGCCGTTCCAGAGAAACTTAACGAGTGAGAACTGTTCACAGTGGTGGCGAGAGGAACCAGACGTCCAAAACATTTATTACCGCCCGGACCTGCTACGTCACACTCATTACACGAAATGGAGTACATTTCCTGATTCCTGAGACATTGTTTTATGATAGTCTGAGATAAGGTTTTGCCCTAAAACGCATTTTTAAATATCTCCATGACAGAGATACACATGCAGGGTGTTGTAAGATAAAATAGTCCTAAAGAAAACTTTTTGGTTGGATTTAGCACTATTTTACCATTAATAACATTACATATGAAAACTCAGAAAACACTGTAATGTGCACGTTAGCACATCAGCTTTGGATAACACAAAAATATATATTTTCTATATTTGCATTGTAGACATAGAGGCCCCTGGCTTCTATCACCAAAACTGTAAGGAAAGCCGATTCTGTAATTTTCTCTATTTCACATCAAACCACTACATTACAATGTAAAAGTTATCAGAATCCATAGCTGAAGATTTCTTGTTTTTCTCTGTGTTTGCTGAAAGTAATGACTGTTGTGGATTAATGATGCACAATTAATGGTTCTGCACAGTTAAATGGCTAAGATTCAGAGTCATTCAGAGTGGTTTGATGTGAAATACTCTGTTCTAGAGAAACTTACAGAGTCAGATTTGTTGACAATGGTGGTGATAGGAACTAAATGTCCACCTCTAAAAGCTCCATCACAGAAAGTTATTATATAAAATGGTTATGAATACACTGCCTGCTGTCTGAGACGTTGTTTTACGGTAGTTCTGTGATAAAGTTTTGGCATAAAACGTATTTTTAATCAATTTATTTTAATCTATTGATGGTGGAGGGATACATGAGGCACATGTGTTCCAAGGCAAAATAGTCCCTAAAGAAACCTTTTTTTTTCTGATTTCCCACTATAGTACTATCCTCAACATTACATATTAAAACTCTGAAGACATCAGTAGGCTCACTGGTGGTTTTGGATAGTAAGTAAAATGGCTATATTTGTGTTGTAGACATCGCCATCACCACCACTGTATCACTCTATCACCACCACTGTAAAGAAATCTGAGTCAGCAAGTTTCTCTACAAATGAATCATTTCACATGAAACCACTCTAAATGGGTTTGTTTACATTTCATTCACTGAGTAATGTTGACATTTTGAAAAATCAGCAGAATTCTCCTTTAAAGCAGACATGACAGCGTATGTCTGAGAAATCTTTAAGCTTCTAATAAGCGAGTTTAAATAAGCTGCTCTAAAATCACAGGTACATTAGGTTTATTGGCAATTATCAGACAGTTATATTGTTACAAGAGAGAATATGAGTAGGCCTATTACTCAAATGTGCTTGTGTCTGGTTTGCTGTTCAATATGAATTCTTTTTAAACGACATCAAAAAATCGAGGCAACATCAGCTGATCCTTAAAAAATAAATTTACATGTACAAATCAAGCAGAAGGAGCTTGATCACAGAAAAGGTATTCTAATTAAGGGACTGCTGCACAAACCTGAAGGATTTATTAAGATTAACATCTAAAGACTGTTGTACTGCACAACTGAATAACCAGGTACCAAACATTTTCACTTTGGTTAGAATTATCTGCAAATAGCCATTTTAAATCTTAGAAATCAGGAAAGGTAAAACATGTGCTTTTTAATAATATCCAACATTCAAAATTATGTTGACAATTATTAGAATTAAATGTTATAATATAATAAATCATTTCAATAATTTATAATACAGATTAAAAAAAATCGTTCTCAATCGTTTTGGAGGTTTTCAAGCACTAGATGTCAGTAAAGCGTATCAGAAAAAAACATACTGAGCATGGCTGCTTGTAACTTGAGTTTTCTTACTAAGCTTCAGTTCAGTAGACTACTATAGGGTGACCTCATCTGTTTGTAATAATAATAAAAAAATCATATATTTTGTATGAAATAAGCACACAGTATGCAAACATTAACTGAAAAATAACTCCAATTTGTTGTGAAATACACACACATTAACTGAAAAACACAGACTGTTGTGTGACCTGGGGTTTCGCAAAGCAGGATTTCTCAGTTTAGCCAGATAACTTAGGCCCAAAGTCAAGCCTGTCCAATAGAAAAAGAGCTGAGGGACATTCTTATTGGACAGTCCTCATCTTTGGGCTTTTTTTTTTTTTTTAAAGTTTTGTGAAATAGCCCCTAGTCTGTTTGAAAAAAACAAACAAACAAAAAACCCCAAAAACAAACAAAAAGCATACAAAACGGATTTAAACTTGGTATGAAATATACAAGCATTACTTAATTGTTAATATGCCATGTTACCGTTAATGTATATATTTTTTGTTCATTAATAAACCACAGACAACAAACTATGTTATGGTTCATGTTCTATAATGAAAGCACTACTAATGGAAATGTAAATATTCAGACATTTACTATTTAACCACATACAATACTGAGTAGTATATCAAAACAGTTCGTCGTCATTAGTGGTGCATTTATTATCACAGTGTGTAGTTCGGTGTTTTTTCCTCTGTTTTTCAGAGTTATGATAAATTCGTACGACTTAATCCCGGAAGCAGAACTCTCCCTCAGCTCGCTCGCTCTCTCTCTGTGTGTGTGTGTGTGTGTGTGTGTGTGTGTGTGTGTGTGTGTGTGTGTGTGTGTGTGTGTGTGTGTGTGTGTGTGTGTGTGTGTGTTTTTCTCAGGTGACGCAGCTGAGCGCCGTTAGTGAAGATGGCGAGTGCAGAGACCGCAGCGGAGCACGAGCGTATCCTGCGGGAGATTGAGAGCACAGACACTAACTGTATCGGTCCCACACTCCGGTAAGTGGTCGGTAAACGGCTCGGACGTTGTGTGTGCTCAGCTGGAGGATTTACCGAGTGAAGAGAAGGAGTCCTCCGCTGTCTCTCCCTCTCCTCTCCTCTCAGCAACTCTTAGGAGAGACTTCCAAACAGTCTCCCCTAACTTGTCATCCAGCTAGCGTGCTAAGTAGTTAGCTAGTTAGCTATCTTAGCATTTGACTTAACCCAGGGAGACAGACACTCCGCTTTTAGTGTTTATATCACACGCCTTTGCTAGTCGGTCTGCAGAACCACCACAGAATTAGGATTAAATTAACATTTAACATGACACTTTTATCTCTCAGCCAGAGACACTGATGAGTTTGTTCTTTGTAAAGACTATCGCTGCCGGAACAAATGTTCAGCAAGCGTTTGGTTTCCCAACTTCCCAACTATCGCTGCCTTACCGTTGTTAGCGAAGTTAGCTAATGTTTCGGGATGCGCCATGCAATTAGTTGGCTTTTTTGCACTTATTTGGCTGAGCAGCCTATGTTCGTATCAGTGTATTACCACGCATGCATTATGTTCTCCCAGCAACATAACCGGCTCTAGTGAGTCTTCAGTGATTTGTTCTTCCTTTCTTTACTAGCTGTTTGCCTGACTCGTCTTTACGGTCCACTCCTGTGACAACACGGCCACCGATGTAAAACGGGAACTGCTCTGTCTGTCTGTCTGTAAGGCAAAGCACATTTGAACGCCTAATATTTTGGATGGCAACTTTTTTGGCTGACCTTGGAAAGCACTGCTCTGTTACTTGGTAGCTGAATGTACATCTTAACGTCGTGCAAAGGCAGGGGTTGCAGACTGAAGCCTGGGAAGGTCTGCTATGTTGCGTTCTCCATCTAATTTAAATGAACACTATGACTAATGCAGCTCGGTCATTCTGTGTCTGCTAGGTGCAGGTTGAAATGTCCATCTTGTGTAGATTAGTGCTGGGCCATATATGTACGGTGTTACTGTGACTAACACAGTGAGCGATTTGATAGATAATTAACTTTATATGGGACATAATGGCCATAAAATAGTGGTGTCTTAAGTGGTTTGTTTAGTTTTTTGAGTTCATTTTTTATAATTGCATCATAATATCTAGGACCTGATGGTTAACTATGATTTGTCATTGGATGGGTGTTTCAGATTGTTTTGAATAAACAGTGTAAAATACTAAATAAATAGTAAGTTTCCTTTCAGGAAATGTGGTTTCTGTCTGTTTAACAATTGTTTTATTTCCTTTAGTGTATTTTTTTGGGGGAAAACAAAACAGTCCAGTCAAAACAAGCTGTGTCAGGTTTGTAATCATTATGGCGTACCAGCACTTGAGAAGCATATGTTCATCTGCTTCATTAATGCAAAGTTAAATATTATCTGATATCTATACTATTCTAAAATTCACATTATTTTACATTTATATACATGTATATCAGTACTGCTCAGCACTAGTATAGATCTGCACTTATATACAATACTCCATACCTTTGTTAAATATTCAGTTTACAGGTCTGTAACTGTATGTGTCTTTTTCTCTTTATCTAGCAGCTGTCTAGGTTGGCATGGTATGAATGTTTTCACCTGGTTACACCAACTTTTGTTGCCGAGCAACTTATGGTTCTTTGATGTGTAAGTGAATGGTACAAACAATGGCACAATGTAATATTCATACACTGGTGGGAAGCCGTCGCTAATTTTAGTTTAAGGGAGTGTGTTGAGAGGGCTGGTAGCTGCATGGCTGTGTGTGTGTGTGTGTGTGTGTGTGTGTGTGTGTGTGTGTGTGTGTGTGTGTGTGTGTGGTGCACACTGATAAAGGCCTCATATTCTCACTTGCTGATGTGGAGCGGCTCATGTGCAGTGAGGTGATAGTCGAGTTGCGTCCCTCTGCTATGTGTTTGTAGCACGAAGTCTTGACATTTGTGCTCACTGTATCAGTATTGAAGCTGACGATCCCAAATCATTGGATCACATTATTAAACTTCATAGAATAAGAGTAATTGTCTTATAAGAGTCTTTCCTATTCATTTTCTGATAAGATGGGCATAGTCTGTGTTTATGCTTAAAGTAATGAGTTGTTCACATTACCTTCACACATCAGATCACATTTGTACTGCCTAGGGTTGAACAAAAATATCTAATTGCAGTTTATTTGATCAATATTGTTATTGTGTTTTAAAGACAATCAGCACATTAATTTTTTTAGACTTGAGGCCTGAATGCCTAATGTAGTGTGCCAGGCTGCCAGCATACAAGCTCTGTGTTAAGTTAAATTTCCCCAATGTTGAATAATAGGATATAATTAAAATTTCAGCCCTTGCGATATGATACCTGCAGTCTTTTAAATTGCAAGTTCGGTATATATTAACAGTTAATCGTTCAGCCCCAGTATTGCCCAAGAGTGACCAAAAAAGCATGATCCATTTTCTTGTTCTGTCTTTTGGAGAGGTTGCTTGGATTGACTGCTTTAGCCCCTCCCTCTTGATTCTGTAATGTCTGTCTTTTTGTCCCTTGTTCTCTATTTGTTCTGTATTTCTTTTATTTTTAGACTCTTCTGTGCTTTCTAAAGGGAGGGACCTGCACGCCTCTTTGTACAAGCCTAAGTTTGAGCGGTGCTAAGCTATATACAGCTAAGCTAGCTGTGGATGAACATGTGTCGGCTCTCAGCTGTTGTCTGCTGAGATTAGCAGGTTTTGCTGCTGTTCTCGTTTACAGGTTCAGTCTCTGAGTGATGTTCTTGGGAGGTCTCACACTGGTAGTACAGGGGACATTGCAGAACTAGGGGGTGTTTCCTAAGGCAGGATTTCTTAGTCAGATAATCTAAGCCTGAAATGAGGCCTGACTAACAAGTCAAGGGGTGGGCTGTTCACCAGTCCATGTTCTGACTACAAACACATTCTTACACAACAAATGTTGTGAGGTTGGACAAGCTTTACAAAACACTGGCAAAAAAATTCCATTTAACCTGATGACAATTCAAATTCTTGTAAAAATATTTACATTTAGCGTGTTTTGTCAACTGCAAATGATATTTATTTTGTATGCGTGCACAGTTGGGCCACTAACCTGCTCAATGCAAGTATGCACATGCAAATGACACAAGCCCAGCCAACACAGTACAAGCGCATTGTTGTTCTGTACAAACCCATTATGTGTTTGTTACCTTGGACATTAAAACACACAGGGGGTGATAGAGGACAAATCAGAGCACAGGAACGGGATCTGCTGTTATTCCAACAGCTGCAACAACTAGGCTGAACATATGGCTGTTTAATTTCCCTGTTAGTATGAAGAGACAGTGATCTATCATATATGTTTGTATGAGCACATTAGTAACCAGTGTAGTTTTTACAAGAATCAGTGTGTGTGTATATATATATATATATATATATATATATATATATATATATATATATATATATATATATATATATATATATATATATTAATATATTTTCTGAGTGTTAGCAAGGTGGAAAATTTCAGTTTTGAAAAATTTTTAGTTTTGATTAGCACTGTTTTACAAGCTATGTATCACAGCGTTTTAAATCTAAACTCAATGCTATACAGTCACTTTATAAATAAAAATAAATCACTAGAATTTCTGACTAGAACGGGATAAATGGGATAAATTTTTGCCAACGCGTTGTAAAACTTGCCCAGCCTTGCAACAGTTGCTATGAAAGAACGCATCTGGGGGCGAAGCGTGGAAGGGTCAATTCTCACTTTAGTCTTAAGTTATCCATTTTTACTCAGAAACCCTGCTTTATGAAATACCTTGCAGCTTTTGTTATAAACCTCAGTCTGCGTGTCTTTACATGCTGCTTGTTATGCTGATTGTAGCTGTTGTAAGACTTTGCCCATGTTTATCACAGTTTTGTGTTAGCAGCATTGCTGTACATCAGGATGTTGTTTGTCATGTGTTTGTTTATGGTCCCAGTGTACAATGCAGTCAGTGATGCAGCACAACATTTCAGCTTATTTGATGCCATGTTTGTCCCATGAAGTTCGCCATTGTTCCCTCCTAGTACGTAATGTCTCCTGCTTTGTTTTTCTCTTTTCCTTAAACACTTTGGGCCACAGAGTCTTAGACACTAAAATACGCACACTCACACTCTCACTTAACGCCCTAATGCAATTCTGCAGTAAGTGACAGGAGCTGACTCAAAGTATCTGTGTGTTTTTCTATATTCAGTTGCTTCTGTTGAAGAGGCCTGAAAAGGTTGAAGGCAGATGTGTGTATGGGAGAGAGCTTTAAAACAGAGCTGGTGCTCTGTAGCTGGCGTTGGTGAGTCAGCTCTCCCAGTCTGCTCTTCCAGTCTGTCCTTTCTCCTTTCTCACTTTCCAGTATGTTCACATAGACTCATCCTGGACTGTTTTTCTTTACCCCATTTTAGTGAGTTGTTGTCTGGAGAAGGGCTGGCACTGTTGATTATGTTAAAAATATTTAAAAGATTATTTTGATGACAAATTGTGTAATCAGAGTTTTGGGAAATGCCAAACAATAAATTTGGTGTTTTGTTTATGCTTTTCAATTAACACATTAATGCTGATTATATTTCAAAGGTTATAATATCAATGTTTAGAAAGAGAAGGGATGCATCAATATTGTTTTTTCAGACTGAATACAAATACATATTGTTTAGTACTCTATTTTGACTCAGATACCATACTTAAAATTTAGTAATTGTTAGTGTAAATGAGTGTTATATACCTTAACATTTGAATCGTTAAAATCTGGCTAATTTTAAGTAACATGCATTTGCTAGCTGTGTTACATTAATTAAACGTGAATCTTGGATTGGGGAGCGCAGTGGTGGAGAAGAGTGGGTTTTGTTCCACGTCAGAAAAGCACTTCTGTACAGCTGTTAGTAAGTACGTTTTGTAGTTTTTTTTTTTTCCTCTTGGTCCTCATTTGTGTCTATCAACAATAGTCTCTGTAATACAATAAAGGCAGGAATCACATCTGAGGCTGATGCATCCTAGGAGCTCACGTTTGG